TGTCCCAACTTCTTCTTACATTATTTCTTGCCTAGTTTTGAGACTAGTCATTTCACTAGTCTTTTCAGTTCCTGTTACTGCATTATGCAAATAGTTTATTTCAATAGCAGTGGGATGATGAGAAGTGCTAAAAAAAGATGGACAGTACTAAGTGTTGACAAAGGTGTATCATATCTGGAACATTTACATATGACTGGTGAAAGTGTAAATTACTTAAATTGGTGCAGCCACTTTGGAATAGTATTTGGCAGTATCTTCTTAAGCTGAACATATACATTTTCTGTGACCCAGCAGTTTCTCTTCCAACTGTATATTAAACAGAAATGTGAAAAAGTATACCAAAAACCACATTCAAGAGTAGTTATAGTAACATTATATTTAGAATAACCCCAAACTGGAAGTAGCCCAAATATCTATCAGCAGTAGAAAGGCTAAATGGATTATGGGGTATACACAAATGGAATACTTTATAGTAATGAGAATGAATCAACCATTGCTATGTGCCATACTATGGATGATTCTCACCAACATAATAGTAAGCAAAGGAAGCGTAGCACTATTTGATTTTATAAATGATAAAAATAGGCAAAATTTTGTGTTAGAAGTCAAGATAATGGTTACTTTAGTTGTTTTTTAATATTGCATTAGTATATCTCAATATTATAGTTGATTTACAGTATTATATTAGTTTCAGGTATACAACACAGTGATTCAGTATTTTTATTGTTGTATTGGTTGTTGCTGTTCAGTCACTAAGTCGTGTCTGACTGTTTGCGACCCCATGTAAACTGCCACACGCCAGACTCCCTTGTCCTTCACCATCTCCCAGACTTTGCTCAAACTCTTGTCCATCGAGTCAGTGATGCCATCCAACCATCTCTTCCTATGTCATAACCTTCTCCTGCCCTCAGTCTTTGCCAGCATCAGGTTCTTTCCCAATGAGTCAGCTCTTTGCATCAGGTGGCCAAAGTATTGGAGCTTCAGCTTCAGCATCAGTCCTTCCAATGAATATTCAGAACTGATTTCCTTTAGGATGGACTGGTTGGATCTCCTTGCAGTCCAAGGGACTCTCAAGAGTCTTCTCCAGCACCACAGTTCAAAAGCATCAATTCGGTGGTGCTCAGCTTTCTTTATAGTCCAACTCTCAAATCCATACATGACTACTGGAAAAACCATAGCTTTGACTATGTGCTAAGTTGCTTCAGTCGTGTCCGACTTTGCAACCCCATGAACTGTAGCCCACCAGGCTCCTCTGTCCATGGGGTTCTCCAGGCATGAATACTGGAGTGGGTTACCATTTCCTTCTCCAGGGACCTTTGTTGGCAAAGTGATGTCTCTGCTTTTTAATATGCTGTCTAGGTTTGTCATTGCTTTCCTTCCAGGGAGCAAGCATCTTCTAATTTCATGGCTGTAGTTACTTTCCACAGTGGTTTTGGAGCCCAAGAAAATAAAATTAGTTACCTTTTTCACTTTTCCCCCTTCTATTTGCCATAAAGTGATGGATGCCATGATCTTAGTTTTTTGAATGCTGAGTTTTAAGCCAGCTTTTTCACTCTCCTTTTCCACCCTCATCAAGAGGCTCTTTAGTTCCTCTTCACTTTCTGCCATTAGAGTGGTATCATCTGCATATCTGAGGTTGTTAATATTTCTCCTGGCTATCTTGATTCCAGCTTGTGAGCCATTTAGCTTGGCATTTTGCATGATATACTCTGCATATAAGTTCAATAAGCAGGGTGATAGTATACAGCCTTGATGTATTCCTTTCCCAATTTTGAACCAATCCATTGTTCCATATCCAGTCCTAATTATTGCTTCTTGTCCTGCATACAGGTTTCTCAGGAGACAAGTAAGGTGGTCTGGTATTCCCTTCTCTTTAAGAATTTTCCATAGTTTGTTGTAATCCACACAGTCAAAGGCTTTAGTGTAGTCAATGAACCAGAAATAGGTGTTTTTTTGGGAATTCCCTTGCTTTTTCTGTCATCCAACTGATATTGGCAACTTGATCTCTAATTCTTCTGCCTTTTCTAAATCCAGCTTGAACATCTGGAAGTTCTTGGTTCACATACTTTTGGAGCCTAGCTTGAAGGATTTTGAGCATTACCTTGCCTAGCATGTGAAATGAGTGCAGTTGTACAATAGTTGGAGCATTCTTTGGCATTGCCTTTCTTTGGGATTGCAATGAAAATTCACCTTTTCCAGTCCTGTGGCCACTGCTGAGTTTTTCAAATTTGCTGGCATATTGTGCAACACTTTTACAGTATCATCTTTTAGGATTTGGAATAACTCAGCTGGAATTCTGTCACCTCCACTAGCTTTATTTGTAGTAGTGCTTCCAAAGGCCCACTTGACTTCACACTCCAGGATGTCTGGCTCTAGCTGTGTGACCACACCATAGTGGTTATGGAGGTCATTAAGGTCATTATGACCTTTTTTGTGAAGTTCTTCTGTGTATTTTTGACACATCTTCTCAATCTCTTCTGCTTCTGTTGTGTGCATTCGTGCTAAGTTGCTTCAGTTGGGTCCACCTCTTTGCAACCCCACGGACTGTAGCCCCCCAGGCTCCTCTGTCCATGGGATTTCCTAGGCCAGAATAATGGAGTGGGTTGCCATACCCTCCTGCAGGGGATCTTCCTGACCCAGGGATTGAACCAGCATCTCTTATGTCTCCTGCATTGGCAGGCAGGTTCTTTACCACTAGCCTCACCTGGGAAATCCCCTTCTTCTGATAGTTATCCTTATATTATCTTTGGCTTCCCTGGTATCTCACCTGGTAAAGAATTTGCCTGCAATGCAGGTGACCTGGTTTGATTCCTGGATCAGGAAGATCCACTGAAGAAGGGAACGGTTACCCATTCCAGTATTCTGGCCTGGAGAATTCCGTCGACTGTATAGTCCATGGGGTCACAAAGAGTTGGACACAACTGAGCAACTTTCACTTTCACTTTATCTTTGTAGCTTATTCATTTTACACATAGTAGTTCGTACTTCTTAATCTCATACTCCTCTTTTGCTTCTCCTTTTCTTCCCATTGATTCCCACTAATTTGCTCTCTGTAAGTCTGTTTCTGTTTTGTTATATTAATTTATTTTTTTAGATTCCATTATAAGCGATAATATCCAATATTTGTCTTTCTCTGTGTGACTTATTTCACTAAGCATAATACCCTCCAAGATCATCAATATTGTTGCAAATGGCAAAATTTCGTACTTTCTTACAGTTGAGTAATATCCCATTGTGTGTATATGTGTTTGTGTGTGTTCTTTGTGTGTGTATATATGTGTGCACACAAACACATACACTAGGTCTTCTTTTTCCATTTTTCTGTTGATGGACACTGGGAATTGCTTCCATATCTTGGATCTTGTATCTAATGATGCTATGAATATTGGATGCATGTGTCTTCTCCAAGGCGTGTTTTTGTTTTCTTCAAATATTTACCCAGTAATGGAATCACTGGATCATGCGATAGTTCTATTTTTAATATTTTGAAAAATACTGTTTTCCATAGTGGGTGTGCCAATTTTCATTCCCACCAATAGTGTACAAGGGTTCCTGTTTATCCACATCCTCGCCAACGTTTGTGATTTGTATTCTTTTTGATGATTGACATTCTGACAAATGTGAGGTGATATTTCATGATGGTTTTGGTTTGCTTGTCTCTGGTAGTTAGCTCAGTTGAGCATCTTTTCATGTGCCTGTTGGCCATTTGTAAGTCTTTGGAAAAATGTCTGTTCAGGTCTTATGCTCAGTTTGTATCAGGTTGTTTGAGTTTTTTGTTTGTTTGTTTTTGATATTGAGGTATATAAGCTGTTTACTATTCACAAATATTTTGTCCCATCTACTTGGTTGTCTTTTCATTTTGTCAATGGTTTCCTTTGCTGTGCAAAGGCTTTTAAGTTTAGTTAGGTCCTATTTGTTTATTGTCGCTTTCGTTTCCTTTGCCTTGGGAGAGAGATCCAACAACAACAAAAAAAGCTGTGATTTATATCAAAGAGTGTTTTGCCTGTATTTTCTTCTGGGATTTTTATGGTTTCTGGTCTTATGTTTATATACTTAATCCATTTTGAGTTTACTTTTGTATATGGTATGAGAAAATGTTCTGATTTCATGGAACAGCTGATTTACATGTAGCTGTACAGTTTCCCCAGCACCACTTATTGAAGAGACTGTCTTTTCCCCATTGTATATTCTTTCTTCGTTTGTTGTAGATTAATTGGCTGTAAGTTTGTGCGTTCGTTTCTTGGCTCTCCTTTCTGTTCCCTTGATCTCTGTGACTGTTTTTGTGCCATTAATATACTGTTTTGATCATGGGAGCTTTGTAGTATAGTCTAAAGGCAGGGAGCATGATTCCTCAAACTTTGTTCTTTTTTCTCAAGATTGCTTTGGTGATGGGGCTATTTTCGATGGTGGTAGAGTAGTTACTGGAATGGGACATCAGCGTTTTTCATGTTTACTTCTTTATTTAGATGCTTATCTGTGTGTGTTCTGAGAAAATTTATTGAACTGTACATTTAATATTTTTCCATGTTTCTGTATGAATATTAAAATTAAAAAAATTTTCTGTTTTTAGATTGATAGTAAATAAAATGCAGTTTAAGGTATCACATTTAAAGTAACCTATTGTTTGCAAGGCCAGGTGCTTGCTGTTGGGAGTATGACGTTGAATAACTGCGAGTCTTCAGGACTCATGCTTCTTTTTGGAAGACATATACTCAAAGAACATGAAGGGAATTCACTGGCAGTCCAGTGGTCGGATTTGCCACTTTTACTGCCGGGACCTGGGTTCAATCTTTGGTTGAGGAACTAAGATCCCACAAACTACACAGCATGACCAAAACAAACAACCCCTCCCTCAAAAAAAAAAAAGGAAAATATGAGACCTGACTAGTGAGAATGTAGCGTTTGAAGTCATTCCTAAAGTTGATGCAGTGCTTTTGTTTCTGTGTTTTGTTTATTTTTAAGCTATCTTGATCACATCCTTTTGTTCTCTCTTTTCATAGCACCTGACAGATACCTCTCATGGTGTAAGAAATAAGTGTCTGCAGTTACTTGGAAATCTTGGTTCTTTGGAGAAAAATGTCACAAAAGATGCAGAAGGCCTAGCTGTCAGAGATGTCCAGAAGATTATAGGGGATTACTTTAATGACCAGGACCCACGTGTCAGAACAGCAGCTATAAAAGCCATGGTAAACATGATGATGGAAACTAAATGGAGTCTGTTTTTTTATTTGTACTTTTCTTTTTTCATTTTTTTTTTTAAGTTAATGGCTAATGCCCCCTGGATAGATACATTCTGAATCCCCCCAGGATACACTTTATCCACACTCTCAGGAAGGTGTTAGTGGCATCACAGAACTCAAAGACACACATCCTTTATAACAGTTGCTTATCTTGTGGGCTTCTCTGGTAGCTCTTACCTGCATTTCTGAAACCTGGAAGGTACAGCTTGTATCCCAGGTCCATGGGAGGGATGTTACTTGGTACCGTGGTGCAAAAGGTACATGTTGTACCCTTGTATTTCAAGAGTATAGGTGAAAGTTATGGGGGAGGAGTGCTCCTTAGGGAGAGATGGTGTCAACCGTTTCTTCCTCAGCCTCCTTATCATATTTCATATTCTTCCTGGTATCCCCTTGGGACAGCCCATGGGTTAGATTTATTAAGCATTTGAGTGTTAGAAAAGTCCAGGTTTCAGATTTCTTATTTATAAAGCACTGACTTTGGCCAGAGGGAACCATATTAATGGGATGTGATGGGGAAAAATATGTGAGATTGAGAGGAGACTTTGGAAATATTGACTTTCCCCTTCCAAATACTTAAACTATATCTTTATTGTCTAGTTGCAGCTCCATGAAAGAGGACTGAAGTTACACCAAACAATTTACAATCAGGTACCTTAAATGCTTGCTTTCTGAAAGGAGGAAGGTGAAGGTATTGTGAAATTGAGAGGGGTCACAGTGGCTGTCAAAATTTTAAAACATAGAGCTTCATCTGGCTAACAGTGGCAGTATTAGTTGTGATGATGTATCCACAACATACATTCTAAGAAGAGAATGGAGATGTGTAATGAATAACACTGGTACATGTGAGGAGGACATTTAGGAGGATTTCAGTAGCTTAGTGTGAATACCAGAGTATACAGAGCTCAGAGTAAGGAAAGTGGTAGTCGTGCTGATGTCTGGTTGATTGAAGTTGACTTCAAACCTGAAGTCAATTCTGGGCACCTCGCTTGAGAAACTGAAGTATTTCTGGAGGAGGATGACCAAGACCATGGGATCAGATGAAAATATATCACATGATTATTGTAGCATTGATAAGGAAAAGCACAATAAAGTTATAGTATCATTAGGACAAGCTGATTGAGTGCCAGCTAAAAGGCCTTACAGTTACTCTTGTAGAATAATTGAATGTATCCAGAGACAAGAAGTCTAAATCTGTGCTTAGAGTCCAGATTTTGCTAGCCTATTGAGTGGTTTTAAGCCTTTAGCGGTAGTTGATAATAAACCCAACCAGTATGACTGCTGTGTAAACCAAGTATGTTCTTTTACAAATGAAATGGAATGAGTTCAGAATGGTTATGTGCCGGTACCAGCCGGCAATGTGAACAGGTCCCGACCGCAGCAGCACGGAAGCCTGAGAAAAAGAAGCTGAAAGTAAAGGATGGGGTTGAGAGGGCTGAATGCTCTTTAGGCAAGTCAGCAACTTTATTGAGTGAAACAGCTACCTTTATACTAGTACAAGCAGAAAACATAGTTCATAAAAATGCCATCTGGTGTTTGTCACATCAATACAATTCTTTGTCTTAAGTGATTGCAGAAGCTTACATCTTGTTTTTGGCATTCCAAGATAAACTACTAAGTGAAGGTCACTACTATGTTTTTCTCAAGGAAGAACAAAGGAGACCCAGCAAATGTTTTACTACTTTATCATGGGGTGGTGGGACAGGGAATGGCCTCTTTCAAGGCTTTCCCAGGGCCTTTTTGGGCCTTGAGCAGGCCGGCTCCCCACAGTTATGATGGTGTGACCTATACGAAAACTGTGAGGGAAACCAAATAATTAAAGGAAACTTGCAAAGACACAGGAAGAAGAGTTAGTCAGTTGATTCAGGTGTTTAGTGACGTAAGACTGTGTTGGTTAATTAGGCAAGCAATGCTGAGGGCCCCAAGAGAGTGAGGGTGGAATGCTGGGGGAGGTTCTGAGATGTAAGACAGCAGTAGTTACTATACTGAGTTCCCTTTTGATTATGTTGAATTTGAGAAGTTGATGGGATACTCATGAGGAGGATTTCAGGTCTGGAACTCAGGAAAGATCAGAGCTGGAGGTGAATATTTGGAGTCATCAGTATTCAGGGAGAGGAAGAAAATCGGAAGAAATGAAGGATGGAGCCAGGGACAAGGCCAGACATTTAAGGAAGGAGCCCTAGAATGGAACTGAGAAGCAGCTTGATGGGGGAAGAGGAAAAACATATTCCGGAAGAGGCAGGAGGGCATTCTCGTAGTCAACAGTGTTAAAATGCTGGTGAAAGGGCATTTAATATAGGGCTGAAATCTGGACATTGGACTAAGCAACAAAGTGGCCATTAGTGAGTTTAAAGAGAGCAATTTCAGTAGAGTGGTGGGATTGGGGAGCGCCAGATCAGGGTCTGTTGAGGTGAGGCAGTTTAAAGTGATTATTGACTATGAGTGAAGAAACTTGACTGATGTTAAAGTGGGGTGGAAGTTGGTAGAAGGGAGCATAGGATTAAGGTTTTTTGTTGCTGTTGTCATTGTATTTTTTTTTCCATTTATTTTTATTAGTTGGAGGCTAATAACTTTACAATATTGTAGTGGTTTTTGTCATACATTGACATGAATCAGCCATGGATTTACATGTATTACCCATCCCGATCCCCCCTCCCACCTCCCTCTCTACCCGATCCCTCTGGGTCTTCCCAGTGCACCAGACCCGAGCACTTGTCGTTGTATTTTAAAGATAGTTGCTAAGTATATTTATATGTTGGAAAGAGAGCTAGTGTTTTGGGAGAGCTAGTTTATGGTGGTCTTCACTGGTGACTCAGTGGTAAAGAATCTGCCTGCCAATGTAGGAGACTTGGGTTTGATCCCTGGGTCAGGAAGATCCCCTGGAGAAGGAAATGGTAACCCACTCCAGTATTCTTGCTTAGGAAACCCAATGGATAGAGGAGCCTGGTGGGCTATAGTCCATGGAGTCACAAGAGTCAGACGCGACTTAGCAACTAAACAGCAACAACAGCAAGTGTTATGATGAAAGAGGCAAAGGGGAGTAAGTGATAGAGTAAGTTCCTTGAGGCAGAAAATCAGATTCATGAGCTGATTCATCAACAGATGTTATTGAGAACCTAATGCTGGCTGTGTAATGCCAAGCATGTTAGATGGGACCTCTGCCCTTCCCAGTCTTGTAGATAAGACGGCAATTAATAAATAAGCAAGCACAGTTATAGTATATGAGTATTGCTGTGAGGTAAAGCTATAGGATGCTGTCATAGAGAATCACAAGGAAGATCTTTTTGGAGGATGGTAAGGGATGGTCATGTGAGGAAGTGATGGGATCCATAGCAAAAATAGGATTAGGAACTAGAAAGGACCCTTTTCCCTCAGATATTGAGAAAACAAGGTGTGGGAGAATACAGGAATAAATGAGCTTGTAACTGGTATGGAGTAGCTGAGTGGGTTTGTGCCTGAGAACCTTGATTTTTCTGATACACAGGTCGCCTTATGGCTGTTAGTGGGATAGAAGTCCTGAAGGGAAGGTTAAGAAAAGCTGCCTTGGGAAATGGAAGTTGAAAGCCAGAATGTAAGCGATTTCAGAGTACAGCTAATAAGGTTTGAGGTCATGAGTCACCCATCCCCTAGAGAGTGTGGTCTTCTTTGCCAGTGCTCTTCTGCCCTTATAAAGTCTTAGGTTTGTGGAGCAGCTGTAGCACAAGTGAAGAGGGCATCCTGTGTGATGATGCAGGCAATGCTCTCAGGAGACCGAAGTAAGAAAGAGTGTAGAGCAAGGAGAAGGCGGTTTATTTGGACAGAAAAGATGGAATTGAAGCAGTGGTTTTCAGCCAAGGTAATTTTGCCCCCCAGGGAATATTTGGTGATGTGTGGAGGTATTTTTTATTCTAATAATTTTATTTACTTATTTTTGGCTGTGCTGGGCCTTCGTTTCTGCGTGGAATTTTCTCTGGTTGCAGTGAGTGGGGTCTATTCGCTAGTTGCGGTGCACGGACTTCTCATTGCAGTGGCTTCTCTTGTTGCAGAGCACGGGCTCCAGGGCCTGTGGGCTTCAGTATTTGTTGCTCCTGGACTCCAGAGCACAGGCTCAGTTGTTGTGGCGCACAGGACTTCACTGCTCCGCGGCGCGTGGGATCTTACTGGGCCAGGGATCAAACCCGTGTCTTCTGCGTTGATTCTTCAGTGTAGAAGTTTTTTTTTTTGGAGGTATTTTTGAGTATTGCAGTTGCTGGGGAGAGGAAGAGGGTGCAGTGCTATGACTGTCTAATGGCTAGAGGCCCAGGGATGCTACTAAACATATTGCACAGGTCAGCCCCTCACAACAAACAATTATCCAATCCAAAGTGTCGATAGTAGCAAGATTGAGAGACCTTGCTTAAACAGATAGGTAGCTCAAGTGGGATGAAGAGCAGGGATGATGGGTAAGTTATGACCTTGGAAGAACCGATAAGAGTAGCATGTTATAGTCAGAGCATGGAGTATGAGATTTTAAAATTTCAAAAGCCGTAGTTCTAGGTGTTGTTGCAGTCTAAGGTGTTGCTTTGACTGTGGGTGGAGTAGGGATATTCCGTTTCAGACCAAAGTAAAACAGGAAAATTTGGCCTCTTTTTGGCATCTTAAAATTAAAATTGTACATTTATTTAGAGTGCTTGAGTTTTCAGGTGGGCTGTCAGTCAGAAATTTGTGCTCTGAATTTACAGGTAGGGGAAAAACTCACCTTTGGTGTTTGAGCCTATAAGGGTAGCACTGTGGGCTCTGACCAAGCTTTGCTAGGATTGATGCTATTCTAGTTGGCTTTTGGGCTGTCAGTTTCTGGTTTTCCTTTCAGACATGGGGTGGGAGGGTACACAGAACAATTTTTTACTGTGCAAAGGTTGAAGAAGTTAAAGTCATATGTACATATTTTGATTGGCATCCTGGTCCAGCTGCTTTATCTTCGTTTTGAAAGTAGTTTGAACATCACCTGGGAGGACACAGAACTAACCGACTTCTGGAATCCTTGTTTGCAGGCTTGTAAACTGCTCTCTGATGACTATGAACAAGTGCGTAGTGCTGCAGTCCAGCTTATCTGGGTTGTCAGTCAGCTCTATCCTGAAAGGTCAGTATGGGTGTCAGCCAGCTTTTGTTCATTGCTAAGTCATTTTCTTTCCTCCCACTATGTAAAAAGCCTACCTCCAGAAAAGGAATGTTGGAAGGCAGTGTGGAATAGGAGAAAAGCATGGACCCTGAAAATCAGGATGCCTGGGCCTTGCTTGAAAGGTACTTCATCTCTCTGGGTCCCAGCTTCCTCAACTATAGATGAAGAGATGGATGGCTGTTCTCAAATGCTATCTCCTCCGCCTCTGCCCACCCCCTAAAAAAGTCTTTAAAATGCTTTGGGGCCCATTTTAGTTAATACGAAAGTCAGCTAAAGATACCAGGTAAGTTTGAGAATAATGATCCCTCATGTACTGTTGTCCTGGTTAAAAATATTTTCATAGGGAATTTCCTGGTTGTCCAGTGGATAGGACTTGGTGCTTTCACTGCTGGGACCTGGGTTCAATCTCTGATCGAGGAAATTAGGATCCCACAAGCTGTGTAGTTTGGTTAAAAAATTTTTTTTCACGGTAATAATTTATTCTCATAGTGATTCTTTGAGGTAGAGAAATAGGTATTATTTATTCTGTTTTATATAAGAACTCCTTTTATAGGAAAAAGCAGTGTTTTTTTCTTCTTCATTAAACACATTGAAATTGAAAAAACAGAATGAGTTAATAAAGCTATAGACCCCTCACCCCCAAAAAAAAGACTGCTATTTCGAAATTGTCTTTTTATTTAGGACTAGATATGTAAATATATTTTATATTGGCTTAAACTTAAAGATATAAAATACTCTGTGGTAGCTGTTACCACATAAAATACTTTGTGGTAGCTGATACTGTGTGGTTTCTCATAAATATTTGAATTTTTGGTGTGAAATGCTTTTTATTTAAGACACAGATTTGCAGTGCAAATAAAAATAAAGAAATCCTAGAGAGATTTGTTTACTCTGAAATGTATTTCATCATTCTGGGTTTTGAATTAAGTTATTTCTATTTGTGTGTCAGTTGTCATTGGTCATTCTCAGCTTTTTGAACCTGTAATTTTAGGTTCATGTTTTATCATTTTTGGTTTCTTGTAATATAGCATTGTCCCAATCCCTTCTTCTAATGAAGAAATTCGCTTAGTTGATGATGCGTTTGGAAAAATTTGTCACATGGTCAGTGATGGCTCCTGGATGGTTCGAGTTCAAGCTGCAAAGCTATTGGTAAGTTGCATCTTATTTAATGAACATATTACCTGTTACACTTGTACAGACATTTTGAGAAGCTGGATAGGGACAAGTGGAATACACTTTTATAAAGCTTCATGTTTCTTAAAATAGAAAGAAAAGGCTCTTTCCCCATAGAGAGTCTTTTAGAACTAGAAAAAATTTTAAAGATAATCCTATTTAATCTCATGAGCATATTAGACAGCCAAAGTCTAGAGAAGAAGGACCATAATAGTAAAAATAACTGCCACTATTACTAAGCACCTGGTATGGCCTACATACTTTGCTATAAGGCCACTTACATTATGTCATTTACTCTTATTATTCTTATTCTTATCTTATTATTCTCTGAGAACCTAAAGTAAATATTTAACTTAGACAGATAGGAAGTTATAGAAGGAGATTCAGATGCTAATCTGACTTTTAGCCTCGCTCTTTCCTACTGTTTTGGCTTTGGGGATTCTAGTACATTTATAAAAAATTTTTTTTAACTTTTCAGAGATAGAGCTGTTTTACAGAAGGAGTGTTGGTGTAATACTCAGCTTTATTTTACACCTGTGTTGTCTCGGACATGTCACTTGGTTTCTTCATCTGTCAAGTGGCTTATCATATTTCTCAGGTTTACCTCACAGGGCTGTCTTGACACTCAAATGAGTTCCTATCTATGACAATGTGTATAACTTGTAAAATACTACCCTATGCAAGGTGGTGGGATCGTTACAATGTATAAACATATATATAACCATCTATAAAACTTTATATTAGTGTCACAGCAAGAAAGCCTGAGATTATTTTCGATCACTTCTCTTTTGAGTGCCTCCAGCTCTGCCAGTCTTAGTAAGATTGTTGGCCAAAAAGTTTGGACCTGACTGTACTGGACACAAATACTGTCCTTTGATCAGTATTTTGGGGGTAACTGCTAAGACGTTTGTGAAGCATTTTCATGGAAAAATAAAGAATTTGGATGATTTCATTTTTTTCCTGCTTATATATTATATTGCTTGTCCATAATAAACAAGCCAGCTTTTAGTGATTTTATTTTTGAATTCACATTTTAAAGCATTGTTTTGATTTGTGGATATTTTAACATTCAGAACAATTCAGTCATTCATCAGATTCTTTCAGTCAGCATGTCCTGAGCATCTGCAGTGTGCTATGTGTGTGTGAGGAGATGTTTAAGAGGAATAATTCAATAATATATTGTCATCTGAGTAGTCAGGTTAGAAAAGTAATCCTTAAAGCAGAGTCATTCAAATTTTTGGCTTTGTACCCTATAGAATCTAAAATTCATTTATGTATGTAAAGCTATATAAATAATGAATTACAGTGGTGAGTTAAAAGGTTTTCACTTAGAGTCTAGTTTGAGTTAAGTGCTTTATGTTATTTTAGTAATTTCAAATCCAAACAACTCTAAATTATGTTATGTTTATACTTCAAAAGTAATTAATAATCTAATTTTGCTAATAATAATAATTGTTACTGTTTATTGAGTTCCTAGCCTACTAAGCTTTTAGTAATAAAAGCATATCCATATACACATGCATATACACCCACTTCCTTATACACAAGCACACGTGAATAGATGCCTACATACTTACACTCATATATATTCATGTTTTGCAAATAATTTTTAGTTCTTTTAAACTCTGAGGTAGATATTATATTATTCATTTTATAAATAATAAAACTAAGGTTTAGGAAAGTGTAATTTTTCCAAGGCCACGTAGGTAGTAATGATACTTGATGCTCTAAAGCCCGTGTAGAATTCCTTCCTGGTGGGGGTCCAGTTATATATTGGGAGCTGTGGTTGTACAGCTAAGGTCCTGCTGGTTTACTAGTTCCTCTGTGCAAGCCAAGAGGTAAACTCTGCTGCTCCAACTCTTGAGTAGATAAACCCATAATCAGTAAACTGTATTTAGTCTTTAGACTATATGTTCATTAATTCAACAAACTGAGCATAATGTGTGCCTTCAGAAGAGTGGATGGTCAGGTAGATTGACATAGACAATCAATCAGTTATATTATTGGTGCTTCTAGGAAAGAGCATCTAACATATGCACAAAAAGCTTCTTGGAGGAGGTAATTTCTTAGTTGACTTTGAAAGATGAGTATGGGTTAGCTAGGTAAAGAAGTAAGGAGAAGGGAAGTAAGTAGCTAGGGAAGGAGAAAATGTGAGCAGAAATATATGAGTACACTATCATGCATACTAACATCGTACTGAACTGTAATATCATACTAAACTACAATATCATGTTAAACTGCAAGCAGTTTGGTATGTTTTGGTAAGAGGGAGTGTTCAACTTGGGTAATATGTGACGGGAGTAAGCTCTAGAGGAAAGTAGAAGCCAGGCTTTCAAGAACGTAAATGAAATGGTAGGCTTTAGACTTAAGTCCATCTTGTACAAAAAGCGAATAGAGTCCATTCTGCTTGACTTATAGCAGGATGAAAACTTTCAGATATTTTATAAAATTTCATACCATAATGCAGTTATCTCTTGTCAGTTTTCCTCACTAGTATGTGAAATTGTTGAGTGCAGAATTGATGTCTTTTTGTATTTGTATTCCTCTTCCTAGTAACTCTAGGCATGTAAAGAAATGGTTGCTAAATATGTATTTGTTTAAGGAATAAATAGACAAATGAATGAATAGAATGCAATGAAAAGGAAAGTAGTAGTTAAGGCAAAGGATTCTGGAGCCTGGGTTTATAGCCCAGCTGTATAATTTATACTCTTTATCACCTTGAATGAGTTGCTTCATCTTTTTGTGCCTTTTCACCTTATGTAAGTTGTGACTAATAGTGGTATTTACTTCATAGAGTTGTAGTGAGTATTAAATGAGTTAATATGTGTATTATGTAATATGTGCACTTAGAGCAATGCATGACACCTAGTAGCTCTGTATAGGTGTTGCTGCTGCTGCTGCTGCTAATGGTTTTATTATTTTCCTGATGATTCAAAATCCGTAGGGATCTTTACTATCACGAATAATCTTATCTTTATGTTCTTAAGTTGGCAGCAAACTGAATTTTAAGATAATATTTGGGTCTTAATAGTTGTTTAATTTGCTCTGGATTCTTCCTTTTTATAGGGCTCTATGGAGCAAGTCAGTTCTCATTTCTTGGAACAGACGCTTGACAAGAAGCTGATGTCAGATCTGAGGGTAACTTGAATTCTTTGTTGTTTAAACTGGGTTTCTGAAACCAAAATCAGTGGAGCTGTATGTCAGGTTGTGTTGATTCAATTTTACAGCCCATGAATTTGTTAAGTTAATGTAGGGTGACTAGATTACATTTTAATTTAAAAATCTTAGTGCTGGGTGCTAAGTCACTTCAGTCATGACCGACTGTGCGATCCTATGGACTGTAGCCTGCCAGGCTCTGTCCTTGGGATTCTTCAGGCAAGAACACTGGAGTGAGTTGCTCTGCCCTCCTGCAAATTCTTAGTAACTTGACCCAAATCACAAGTTACTTCATTACATTTTAAATTATCTTAATGAGATACTTTTCACGGGTTGTGTTTTACAAAGAAGAGGCAAGATTAACTTTCTGTTTTAGAAACTACAAAGATCTGGTCTTATTTTGTTAGATTGTATGACATCTTAGAACTCCTTTCAATAGCAATTCTCATGGAAGAGTTTACATGAGAATACAGTAGCAGCATCCTATTACTCTAAACAGTAACAGAATGCCCTTAAACTAACTGATGGTTCTCTGACATAGTTGTCAGGAACAGATATGAGTCTGAAAATATGATAGGATCATTTATTGTCAGTATCTTAAGTTTTAAGTTATAAAAGTGTTAATAAGGAATCAGAATCTTTGACAAGTAGAAGGAAAAGGGAAATAGTTTACCCGTATTCCCACTACTCTTAACACATCATTTTGAGGTATTTGTATTCAGCTGTTTCTTATGCATGTTTTAAACATTGAATCATTATATACAGATAATTTTGTAGTCTACTTTTTACCTTTACCACTACATTCTTTTTTCATTTTGTTAGCTTATAGTTTTTACTGATTGTGTAATATCCCATTGGAAAAGACCCTGATGCTGGGAAAGATTGAGGGCAGGAGGAGAAGGGGACGACAGAGGATGAGATGGTTGGATGGCATCATCGACTCAATGGACATGGGCTTGGGTGGACTCTGGGAGTTGGTGATGGACAGGGAGGCCTGGCGTGCTGCAGTTCATGGGGTTGCAAAGAGTCGGACAATGACTGAGCAACTGAACTGAATATCCCATTAAGTAGATGTATCATCATTTTGTAGCCCTTTGTTATACATTTATAGTTTCTCCTAAATTTTTCCACCATTATAAATCATATAGAGAGTATTATCTCCATGGATTTTAGATCTTTTCTTTTGATTTATTCCATAAAATAAATTCTTAGGAATGGTTGAAGAGTTGATATCTTTGCTTCATGAAACATTGCCGTATGGCCTTCTTGAAGGGGATTCCCTTCATTTGAGGTCAGTGATTGCGTCAGTGTTCTTGGTGTATACTGGAGTGGAAGTGCAAAGAAGGACATGCTCATGGTGAATGATGAGGGATGGGTAATTCAAGGGTTCCTAAGATACATTGCAAAATACAAATGGGTCCGAACCATATCCCTGTAGGCTTAGGTGCTGTATTTCATCAGTGCCTTTGAGATGATCAGCTGTGAGGGTGTGGTCTCATTCCAGCAAGATTCATAGAACCTGATATGTAAAGCAGATTGCCGGGGACTTCCCTGGGGGTCCAGTGGATAAGAGTCCGAGCTCTCAGTGCAGGGGGCCAGGGTTCAATCCCTGTCAGGGAACTGGATTCTACATGCCGCAGCAAAGGTCAAGCATGGCACAACTAAGACCCAGTGCAGACAAATAGATAAAAATACATATATTAAAGACCAAATAAATTAAAAAAATAAAGCAGAATGCCAGTTTATTCATTTATGAAGGTAACTGTAACTGTCAAGTAGACTCAATATTTACTTTAGCCAACTAGTATAGCTCCCCTTAAGCAACCTGTGTAGGAAGTAAATTTACTAGAGGCTTGCTTGGTGAGCATAATGTTGCTCAAATAAAGCATAGTCCTATGGTTTGAAAAAAATTCTTTTCTAGGGCTAGAGTATTGTCTACACAGGATGATGCTTAGAGGGATACTGCCATTATTTAACTTCTCTAGTTCTCCCTTCCCTGTGTTGCCATGGCAAACATAACCACCTCTCTGATGAATATTCTTGTGTTCTCTTTAATAAAGCTGTGGGTGTGTGTCTTCAGTCACTCAGTCATGTCGGACTTCTTTGTGACCCCATGGACTGTAAACCCTCCAGGCTTCTTCTGTCCATGGGATTATCCCAGCAAAAATATAGGCGTGGTTAGCCATTTCCTCCTCCAAGGAATATTCCCAACCCTGGTATTGATCCCAAGTCTCCTATGCTCCTGCATTGGCAGGCAGATTCTTTACCAAGTGAGCCACTTGGGAAGCCCCTTAATAAAGTTACTATCTTTGATAAGATTACTATCAACTATGATAGACCAGAGAGTCTTTGTCTTTGCTTCAAGTTGAATTTGCATATCTCTGCTCTGATAGCTATTGAATGTTTTTTTTTTTTTACTGTAACTTTCAGAGAGTGGTCTTTTTTTTAAAGATATATTTATTTACTTTAAATTTTTGTTTTTTCGTTGTGCTGGGTCTTCATTGCTGTACAGGTTTTCTCTAGCTGTGGAGAGCAGGGGCTTCTCTTGTTGCAGCTCATGTGCTCTAGGTGTGTGGGCTGCAGTAGCTGGGGCTTATGGGCTCTACAGTGTGGGCTTAGTAGGTGCACGGGCTTAGTTGCCCCATGGCATGTGGGATCTTCCCAGACCAGGGATTGAACCCATGTCCTCTGCATTGACAGGCAGATTCTTAACCACTAGGTGACCAGGGAAGCCCCCGAGAGCAGTCTTTATTTCCCACTTTCTCATGTTCTTGGTGTGCAACTTAACTGTTGTCTCATGAATCTCAGCAAGTGGTAATTTTTGTCTTCTACAGAGGAAACGCACTGCACATGAACGTGCCAAGGAACTTTACAGCTCGGGAGAGTTTTCCAGCGGCAGGAAGTGGGGAGATGATGCTCCCAAGGAAGAGATAGATACGGGGGCTGTGAACTTGATTGAGTCAGGAGCTTGTGGAGCCTTTGTTCATGGATTGGAAGATGAGATGTACGGTAAGAATGACTTAATAATAGCAGTGCCCACTTACCGCGTGACTGCTGTGTCACTGGCATTGTATTGAGTGATACAGATTGTCTCACTTGATCTTCACAGTCACTCAGTGAAGACTTTATTTCACCTTCATTTTTTAAAAATAATTCTTTTATTATTTATTTGCATATTTTTGCTTGTGCTGGCTCTTCATTGCTGCACTTGGGCTTTCTGTAGTTGCGGTGAGCAGGGGCTACTCTTTGTTGCAGTGCCCCAGCTTCTCATTGCAGTGGCTTCTCTTGTCGCGGAATATAGGCTCTAGGCACATAGGCTTCAGAAGTTGCAGCACATGGGCTCAGTAGTTGTGGCTCACGGGCTCTGGAGAGCAGCCTCAGTAATTGTGGTGCATGGGCCTAGTTGTTCCTTGGCATGTGGACTCTCCCCAGACCAGGGATGGAACCTGTGTCCCCTGCATTGGCAGGAGGATTCTTATCCATTGTACCACCAAGGGAGTCCCATTTCATTTTTGAAAGATATTTCCCTGGGAATCCAATTCTAGATTAGTAGTGGTTTATTTATTTGTTCTTTTTTTTTGTCCTTTAAAGATCTTGTTCCACAGTTTTTCAGTTCTGTTGAGAAGTCTGCTGTCATTTTTTTTTTTAACTTATTTGTATTTTTGACTGTTGGATCTTCATTGCTATGCAGAGGCTTTTCTCTAGTTGTGGTGCACAGGCTCCTGTTACAGTGGCTTCTCTTGTTTTGAAGCATAGATTCTAGGCACATGGGCTCATTAATTGCAGTTTGAGGGCTTAGTTGTTCTAGAGCATGTGGGATTTTCCTGGACCCTGCATTGCAAGGTGCATTCTTAACCACTTGACTACCAGGGAAGCCCTGCTGTAATTTAAAATTTCTGTTTTTCTGTACATAGTGTATCTTTTTTTACTGTCTGCTTTTAAGGTTTTCTCTTTATTACTGGTTTTAAATGATTTAATTATGATATGCCTTGGTATAATTTTCTTCATATTTCATATGCTTGGAGTTTGTTGAGCCTCTTGGATCTATGGTTTTGTAGTTTTTATCAAATTTGAAAAATCTTTGGTTGTTATTTCTTTAAATATTTTTCTGAACCCATGCTCCTTTAGGGTCTCCCAGTTACATATATATTAGGCTACTGAGTTTGTCCTGCAACTCACAGGTGCTCTGTTCTTTTTTTTCACTTTTTAGTCTTTTTTCTCTTTGTTTCATTTTGAATAATGTTTATTGTTTTGTCTTACCTAATCTTTTCTTCCTCAGTGTCTAATCTGATATTGATTCCATCTGGTATATTTTTCACCTCAGACATTTTAATTGTCATCCCTAGAAGTTTGATTAGAATTTAAGTTTCTTTTCTTTAGTGTCTTGTATGTCACTACTTAATATGTTTACTCTTTCCTGTAGCTTTGTCAACAGAGAATGTATTTACAGTTAACTGTTCTAATGTCATTGTCTTCTAGCTCTAATGCTTTTGTGATTGCTGGGTTGGTTTTGATTGGTTGATTTTTCTCTTCATTATGGATTATATTTTCCTGCTTCTATGTAAGCCTGGTAATTTGTGATTGGATGCCAGACACCCTGAATTTTACTTTATTGGGTGCTGAACATTGTTATATTCCTGTAAGTATTCTTGAGCTTTGTTCTAGAATGCAGTTAGCTCAGGTTTTATTTTTAAGCCTTTTTAGGTGGGCTGGAGTAGCACTAAGCCTCAGGGTTATTTTTCTCCACTAGTAAAACAAACCCTTCTGAAAAAACTTGTTGATCATGTGTGAATTTTGGAGATTATTTCCTCAAATCCTCGAGAGGTTCTTTCTCAGGCCTTGGGTAGTTTCTTCACAGATCAGAAATTGACTGAAGACTTAGGAGGACCCGCTGCAGGTCTCCCAGGCTTGCTCTGTCCGTGCCCTTCTTTCCATTCTGTACTTTGCCCTCTAACTCTAATCACAGCTCTGTCTTCTGAACTCCCAGCTCTGTCGTGTGAACTCAGGGAGACCTACAACCTGGGAACTCTACAGACAGTAAACTGGTATAATCACAGAGCTCGCCTCATTTTATTTCCTGTCTCTCAGAGATCACTCCCTTTTACTGCCTGACATATGGTGTGTTGAATACTTTTGTTTCATATATTTTGTCTGTTCTTAGTTATTTAGTTGTTTCAGAAAGGATTAATCCAGCTTTGTTAACTCCATTTTAACCAGTAATAGAAGCCCTTGCAAATCTCTTAGCATTTCCACAGTATGATGCTGTCCGTCTCACATATATCACAGATAATGCTTTGAGTTGAGTGACTCCAACATCATATTTTCAGTTAGGCTAACATACCTAAGGAGATAATGTTGATTGTCCAAATTTTACAGTAAAATTGTGTCAGAGGATTAGAACTAAGGTCTTTAAAATGCCTACAAAAATGATAACCTTAGAACAGAATTTCTTAGAAGGACAAGAAAATTACTTTGGAAAGACAGTTTTTCTGTTAATAGATAGAAGAATTGGGTTACTCTATTCAGTTTGCTATAAGGCTTTCTATATACATGGAAATTAAAGCTGCCTCTGCTTTTTTTCCCCATGAACTTGATATATGAATGAAAAATTTAAATAGTGTTAGATAATAAGGAATTCCAGTTATTAAAACCCAGTTTATCCTAAGGCAGATAACTGGAATCTATTTTGTTTCTACTAGCATTTTTGCTTTGTTTAGTTTCTACAAATGAATTTAATCACAGTTAATGTTTATGTGGTTTATTTCTACAGTCTTTAGTTTGTCACTAAGGTCTAATTAAAGGCACTTAACTTTGGAAAATGAGGAGATCATAACCAGCATCAGGTACAGCAGCTCTCTAATCATATTTACAAAATTCTGGGTCAGTCAGGGTCTTAGGGATACATTTGCTGGGTGAAATGGAGCCTGTTTTGTTGGCCTCTAGTGTATCAATAGTATCACACAGTTCTAGTCCTCTTGTTGCATGTTCTCCCTCCTTCCTGGGCCTTTACATGTGCTTCCTCTGTGTAGGAAGGCCCTTTTTCTTTCTTCTGGCCCAGCAACTCCATCTGGTATTATTTTAGGGGTCACTTTCCAGAATGCTGCCTGTGATCCTGTTCAATAGGCTGTGTGCCTCTTCTGCATTTCCTTAATACGACCTGTGTGTTTCCATTGTACCATTCATCACTGTGTGAGGCAGTAGGCTACTCTAGTCTTTGGTGGCTAGGAGATGGTGTATGAAACTGGTAAGTAACAAAACTAGAACCTGATTACGCGTGTTAAGATACCAGAGGATCAGTCTTTTTTTTTTCTCTTGAGCAAGCTAGTTCCTTTTCTCTGCCCTGGATCCTTAAGGAGACTGTTACGTATTTTCAACATTCCAAAAAGTCCAGTAGGAACTGTTGCTTTAGCTACCTGTAGCTGAGCTGTGCATGGCAAAGTAGAAAGCCAAGTGTCTTTGCTTCTGCTTGGAATTGCATCAGGTCAGGTCATACTGATTACCTTATGTTGATCAGAAGCTTGTCTGTGATTCCCTTGATAACACTTGCTGGACTTACATATGAGTCAGTGCTGCATAACCGATAAAGCCCTTGGAAGCAGGGTCAGCATTTAAAATATTTGGCTCCATCCCTGTCTTGTTTTGTAATTATTAGCAATTTCATGTTTAAATTATATTATTGTGATGCAGAGCAAGTCCTTCCCTTCTGGTGAAAAGGAAGAATTTATAAGTACCAAGAAAAATCTGAGTCATCTCCCTTTAATGTAGTAATTCTGTTTTTAAGTGTCTGTAAAACCTTTCTTTCTTCCCAGTCCAACTCTCACATTCATACATGACCACTGGAAAAACCATAGCCTTGACTAGACGGACCTTTGTTGGCAAAGTATTGTCTCTGCTTTTTAATATGCTATCTAGGTTGGTCATAAATTTCTTTCCAAGGAGTAAGCATCTTTTAATTTCATGGCTGCAGTCACCATCTGCAGTGATATTGGAGCCCCAAAAAATAAAGTCTGACACTGTTTCCTGAAACTCCAATACTTTGGCCGCCTCATGCGAAGAGTTGATTCATTGGCAAAGACCCTAATGCTGGGAAGGATTGGGGGCAGGAGGAGAAGGGGACGACAGAGGATGAGATGGCTGGATGGCATCACCGACTCGATGGGCATGAGTTTGAGTAAACTCCGGGAGTTGGTGATGGACAGGGAGGCCTGGCATGCTGCGATTCATGGAGTTGCAAAGAGTCGGACACGACTGAGCGACTGAATTGAACTGAACTGAAAACCTTTCTTATACAAAAAACTGAACTATATTTGAGGGTTTAACCACAGTTGAAGACTTTTTTGAAACTGTACATTATGTTATAGAACCCAGTGGGAATCATTGGAATGAAACAGGCATGTGTGGAAGTCTTGTGAACATAGTCTGTAACTTACTCATCTCTCATCTCTTTATCCCAACACTCAGCACAGGGCCTGGCATATAGTGCATGTTCAGGATGCATTGTCAGTGAATGAATGAAGGGCTTCCTGGACTCAGTGGCCTCACTGTTACATGTTCTGAGCATATAAAGAGATAGGGGACATGCCTCGGTTTTCAAGGTGCTTACAAGATCTATACCTATATCATAGTTAATATTTATTGAGCCTTTAACATATGCCAGACAGTGTGCTATGTGCTTTCCCCACATTATGTCATTTATTCCTCCTAACTACTCTGTAAGAAAATAAGTATTCTCTTGAAGTGCTATGAAGTTAAGTTACTTATTCAAGATCACTGTACAAGTTAGTGGATGGATTACTTTTTGCAATTCACTGTGAGACCGCTGTCATTCCAGAGCCAGTACCCTTAACCCCTACATGACACTAGTCTAGAATTAGCAGACCAGAGTACTAGTCTTATCTCTGCTCTCACTTTGAGGCAAGTTTATCCACTTTGCTGAGTCTTATCTCTAGATTGAGAATAATGATACTTGAGCCTATTTTAATCTTAATAATGCTGTTTGAAAAGTGCTTTTTAAAAAACTACTGTGGTTGGAATACTGAGATAAGACAACTGAGTTTTCAAGAAATTTAAATTAATGGAGATAGGCATGTGACTTGATCACATGTCTATGGATTTAAGATCTAAACCTCAGTTCTTGTGGTACCAGTGTCCTTATTTGTAGGTCCATGTGAAGGCAGTGCCAGAATCTACAGGCTTGGAGGAGATCTCCCAGAGAGAGTTTGCAGAGTGAGAGGAGTAAAGGGGGAAACACAAACCTGAACGAGGAGTCCTTGCATTTCATCCATGGGTCTTAACTTGACGTACAGTTTGTTTGTTCCCTTCTCTCTAGAGGTCCGCATTGCTGCTGTGGAGGCACTCTGCATGCTGGCCCAGTCTTCACCCTCTTTTGCTGAGAAGTGCCTTGATTTCCTGGTTGACATGTTTAATGATGAAATTGAGGAAGTACGTCTCCAGTCCATACATACCATGAGAAAAATCTCTAACAATATCACCCTTCGAGAGGATCAGCTTGACACTGTCCTGGCTGTGTTAGAGGTGAATGATCACAGTTTATTATGCATTTCTTCATCAGTACCTACTGAGTGCCGCTTTTCTTTCTTTCTTTCTTTTTGGCCAGACATTGGTGATAAAATAGTGAAGAGGTAGCACAATTCTGCTTTCTGATCACACAGCTCCTTCATGATGGAGGAGACTGTTAAACAGGAAATTTGAATAAAGCTTAGTAATGCCATGATCAGGAAAGGATGGGATGCCCTGGGAATACAGAGTATCTAACCTGAGTTAGCCGAGGTAAGGTTGGGAAGATAGGGAAGAAGGAAGGAATGCTGTAGTGGATACTTGAAGGAGTAGGACTTAATGAGGAATTTTCTTTCTTTTTTTTAAATGAAAGTATAGTTGACTTGCTATATTATATTAGAAAAATCAGAAAGAGAAGTTATATTGGATTCAGGTATATAAAGAATTTTCTTGGGAAGGCGTGGCACTGATGGTAGTGGGGTGGAAGGGTACCAAAGAGGGAGCAGTGTTTTAAGGATCCAGAGGTAAAAGTGGATATGATATATCCAAGGAATTGGGAGGAGCCAAATAAATACATAAAGTTAAAAAAAAAAAAACCCACAAAAAAATGAGTTAGCACCCGTACAGTCATTCTGGTTAAAATGAATAAATAAAAATAAAAATGAGTAGCTGCTGATACATGTAGCAACATGGATACATTATGGTAAGTAAAAGTAATCAGGCAGGAGAGGCAGCATGCTGTATGATTTCATTTATATGACATTTTGGAAAGACAAAAGTGTAGCAGAAAACGCATCAGTGATTGCTAGAAACTGGGGTGAGGGGTAGACTACAAAGGGACACTAGGAAAGTGAGTGATGCAGGTGTTTTATATCGTGAATGCGATGGTGGTTACATATCTATATGGATTTGTTAGACTCATAGAAGTGTGCACTAAAAAGGATGAATTTTATTATAGAATGTAAAACATATATCAATAAACCTGACTTTAAAAAAATTGCTTTGGAGATCCCATTTCCTGCTAAAAGTAACCAAAATGCAGAAGAGAAATGGCTGATTCCAGGTGTGGTACAGGAAACATAACAAGATAACCGTGTACTGCCTTGTCATACAGAAAGCAGATATTAGCTATCCAACACCTCTAGGCTCATATCAAAAGACCCAGGAGATGACTTAAATAGTCTCTCACTGGCCAAAGGTGAAACATCTCATTAAGATTATAACTGCAAATATGATGAAACCCATGATTTTATAATAATTAAGTAAAGCACATCACTAGTCACATTGGAAGATGCATAGTAATCAACTCATTATTTTGAAAACTGGTAAATTAAGGAATCAAGCATTTATCCTTCCTTTTCCTACACAAATGGAACTTCAAGACAACCAGCTAGGTGATAAAGGGAAGTTTCTCTTGTAGAAGTATTCCAGTTAATAAATCAAGAATGATAGAATATATATATTATTGTTTTAGAACTTTAATGAATTACTAGATCTAGGCAGTGATCTTCAGTGGTTAGTAATATCACAAAGGCGAAATATATAGTTGCTGAGGGAAATATACGGTACCACTTGTGAAGTGGTCATATAAAAAAATTGAACCTGATTCTGATCAAGCCTGTAAATCAAACTACCATCTCCAGATATACAGGGGAGAAATTGCAAGGGGTAAAAAAAGTGAGATGTAAAGAGATTTTACATATTTTCAAAAATAAAGACTCATTTTTAAAAAGAACTATTATGGCAATATTTACCAACAGAATGCTGATTTCTCTGACTGGATTCAAAATAATTTGGGAGGGGTGGTTTAAGGTATAGATGAAGCATGATTGGCTGTGAGTTAATTGTTGAGACTGGGGGGTTTCTTGTCTCTACTTATTTATACATGCTTCAAATTGTCTATGTTAAGAAGTTTTAAAGAGCTGGCAATAATGCTATGAAGATATCAATAAGAGTAAAACTGATACGTCTTCATTTATGTTAGCATTAAGAAGTTGTTGGTGAACTTTTCTAATCATTTTAGTGAGGTTGAGCAAAAGGTATTGGGGAGGGAAGAGGCCACTTTCTGACATCACCTGGTACCTCCTCTTTTTTTGTTTATCTGCCCTAGCCACACTGCTATTTTTTCAACATGCTTTTGCCTTTCAAACATAGCCTTTATGTTTGCTGTTCCCTTTGATCATGCCACGTAAAATAACCCTCCAATCTTAGCGCTCTTATCCTTAACCTTCTTTATAGTTTCTCATATCTTATTTACTTAGGATGTGCTAGGTCCTCGTTGCTGCTCATGGGCTTTCTCTAGTTGCAGCGAGCAGGGGCTACTCTCTAGTTGTGGTGCTTGAGCTACCCATTGCTGTGGCTTCTATTGTTGCAGGACACTGACTCTAGGACATGCAGGCTTCAGTAGTTGTAATGCATGGGCTTAGTTGCCCTGAGGTATGTGGAACCTTCCCAGACTAGAGATGGAACCTGTGTCCCTTGCATTGGCAGGTGGATTCTTAACCACTGGATCACCAGGGCAGTCCTTTAGCTGTTTATTTTTGTCTTTTCACTGGAAGGAAGCTCCTGAGAGCAGGGATTCGGTTTTAATTATGGCCATATCCCTAACACTTGGTACATAGTAGGTACTGGTAAATGTTGACTGTATAATAAAGTGTTCTGTAAATGTTGAGTGTACCAATGAATGAACAAATGGATGAATTCTTCAAATATCATTTCAGATTTTACCTCCTCTGTGAAGTCTTTTCAACTACTAGCCCCTCCCCTTTGAGAGGGCTGTTTGCCTTATCCTCCTACTTTAACTTGTACAGTCCTCCATAAATAGCTAATCCATAGTGATTGCTTTTATTATTATTGTTACCTTTTTTTTTTTTAAGGATTCATCTAGAGATATTAGAGAGGCTCTTCATGAACTCCTATGCTGTACTAATGTTTCAACCAAAGAAGGGATTCATCTTGCACTGGTGGAGCTGCTAAAAAATTTAACCAAGTACCCTACTGATAGGGACTCCATATGGAAGTAAGGATTTTTTTTTTTCTCATTTGCTTGCTGAGTCTGATAATGTGTTAAATGTACAGTGTTGACATTATTCAGTGGATCATCATGGATTGAGATATGGCCTTCAATTTTGCCTTCACTTTATTATTTTTTTTTAATTTATTTATTTATTTTTTTTATCACAACCATAGTGTATCTTTTTTTTTTTTTTTTACATGTATTCCCCATCCCGGTCCCCCCTCCCACCTCCCTCTCCACCCAATCCCTCTGGGTCTTCCCAGTGCACCAGGCCCGAGCACTTGTCTCATGCACCCAACCTGGGCTGGTGAACTGTTTCACCCTAGATAATATACGTGTTTCAATGCTGTTCTCTTGAAACATCCCACCCTCGCCTTCTCCCAGAGTCCACAAGTCTGTTCTATACATAGGAGTCTCTTTTTCTGTTTTGCACATAGGGTTATCGTTACCATCTTGCCTTCACTTTAGAAACCTGATTCAACTTAGCCATACCCTTAAGAGTCTGGTTCCTAAACTGAATATCATATTTTAGGTTATTCATTTGTCCATCCGTCCACCTAGCAAATATAATATGCCTGCCATGTGCTTACTATGTACCAAGCCCTATGGTAACTTTTGGAGATACAGAGATGAGTCTGTAGATTCCCTTTTCCTCCTATATGATGTTAGTCACTCCTTTGTCTATTACCATTGTAAAGATTAGAGGGAGGGTAAGTACTTGATCTTCAGATGGAAAATCATGATTCCCTGGATTACCTCTAGTTTAGAATTAGGCTTAACACTGTTCATGAATTGCTGTTTGAAGAGCTACTTGGCATCAGTTCAATTCAGTTGCTCAGTTGTGTCGGACTCTTTGTGACCCCCTGAATCGCAGCACGCCAGGCCTCCCTGTCCATCACCAACTCCCAGAGTCCACTCAAACCCATGTCCATCGAGTCAGTGATGCCATCCAGCCATCTCATCCTCTGTTGTCCCTTCTCCTCCTGCCCTCAATCCTTCCCAGCATTAGGGTCTTTTCCAATGAGTCAACTCTTTGCATGAGGTGGCCGAAGTATTGGAGTTTCAGCTTCAACATCAGTCCTTCCAATGAACACCCAGGACTGATCTCCTTTAGGATGGACTGGATGGATCTCCTTACAGTCCAAGGAACTCTCAGGAGTCTTCTCCAGCACCACAGTTCAAAAGCATCAATTCTTTGGCACTCAGCTTTCTTCACAGTCCAATTCTCACATCCATACATAACTACTGGAAAAACCATAGCCTTGACTAGACAGACCTTTGTTGGCAAAGTAATGTCTCTGCTTTTTAATATGCTATCCAGGATGGTCATAACTTTCCTTCCAAGGAGTAGGCGTCTTTTAATTTCATGGCTGCAATCACCATCTGCAGTGATTTGGGAGCCCAAAAAAATAAAGTCTGACACTGTTTCCCCATCTATTTGCCATGAAGTGATGGGACCAGATGCCATGATCTTAGTTTTCTGAATGTTGAGCTTTAAGCCAACTTTTTCACTCTCCCTCAACTTTCATCAAGAGGCTTTTTAGTTCCTCTTCACTTTCTGCCATAAGGGTGGTGTCATCTGCATATCTAAGGTTATTGATATTTCTCCCAGCAATCTTGATTCCAGCTTGTGCTTCCTCCAGCCCAGCATTTCTCATGATGTACTCTGCATATAAGTTAAATAAGCAAGGTGACAATATACAGCCTTGACATACTCCTTTTCCTATTTGGAACATTTACTATGAACTGTTCATTGTTGTACTCCACATATTTCAATGAATTTACATGATGAGATCACTCCAAATATATGATTTATTTTAAAAAATTACTACCAAAATTAGAAAAACTATGGGTCCAATCAGGTACAAATCAGGCCAACTCAAGATATACTAAAAGTTAAAAATTCCAGGAAATCTTGTTCTAGGTAATATTTCTATTATCTGGTTTTCTGTTTTGCATTTCTTCATGTTTTTTCAGCTCAATTCATTGTGCGTTTCTTGATTGCCTTCAGGGAGCATTCAGTCATTTGGGATGTGGGGATACAATGTCCCCTGATGCATAGTGAGTAAAAGGGCTGAGAGAGGTCAGAAAACTAGAGAATTAAGTTCTTTCCACACAGAAGGAAATCAAGACTGGGGAAAAGTGTACTTTCCTGAGTATCAAGTGTTTTGAATGTGATGCCTTTCATACCCCACACTCCTATCAGTTTGTTCATGGGGTTTGTTTTCTCTCTTTTGCTGATCTTACTTTCCAGTCCTTGATGAAGACTCATCTCCTTTGTGAAACTTTCTCTGGTCACAGTGATCTCTTCTGCCTTTGACAGGTGGAAAGAAAATGATATCAAACTGTTATTTAATAGTTCATTACCTTGCAGTGTTAGTCATCGTTGCATCAAATTATAAACTCAATGAGAGCGTTAAATTAAGTTCTGTGTTTCTCTTTAATTCATACCTCCTACACTAGAAATTTATTAAAAATAAGAAAAATGCCTAAATACCAGCATGTATGTAGTTTTTTATGCCTTATAAAGGGCATTCATGTAGTCATAGTAGTTAACTAATAGCCAATTAATAATAGCTAAACTAATAGTTAATTGAGTTCTTATTATATAATGGCAGACACCTTGCTAAATACTTTTCATTATTTTGTTTAATCCTTGTAGCAACTGTATGAGGTAATTATATTTTATCTGATTTGTAGGTAAGAAATATATCTGTTCAAGGCCACATAGTTACTAAGTTTCTTGTTTCAGATCAGGTCTCTTCTGATTTTAGAACTTCACCTAGTAAATCAGTTAGAATGCTTTTGTCTACAAGTAACAGAAAATCTGATTAACAGGGGCTTAAATACTGTCTAGTTTTTTTGCTTAACAAAAAAGTCAGAGTTGATTTCAGGGTTGGTCATTCAACAGTTTAACACGATTAGTACTCTGGTTGATTTTTTTGTTGTTGTTATTCTGTTGGCTTTCTACTCATAGTTGCAAAATGGCTGTCTCATAAGACAATACCTTAAGAGAGAAAGAAAAGAGCATTCCCTCTATGCATTTTTTTCTCTCTCTCTCCTTAAAAAAATTTATTGAATTATAGTTGCTTTATAATGTTGTGTTACTTTCTGCTATATAGCAAAGTGATTTAGTTATATTCATATGTTATTTTTCATATTCTTTTCCATTATGATTTATCACTGGATATTGAATATAGTTGCCTGTGCTATACAGTAGAACCTTGTTGTTTATCCATCCTATATATAATAGTTTCCACTTGCTAATCTCAGACTCACAATCCTTTCCTCCCCCACCCATATCCTCTTTTGGCAACCACAAATCTGTCCTCTATATCTGTAAGTTTGTTTCTGTTTCATAGATATGTTCATTTGCATGAACTTGTTTTCATTTGGCTAGGAAAACATTGCTGAGAAATTCCCCAGCAGAGTTGACCTCCTGTTCCATTGACCAGAACTAGGTTACTTGACTACTTGCGAACCAGTCACTGTAAAATGGGATTGGGATTGCCATGATGTTGTTGTTGTTCAGACACTAAGTAGGGGCCGACTCTTTGCGACTCCATGAACTGCAGCATACCAGGCTCCCCTGTCCTTCACTATCTTCCAGAGTTTGCTCAAATTCATGTCCATTTGAGTTGGTGATACTATCTAACCATCTCATCCTCTGCCTCTCCCTTCTCCTTTTGCCTTCAGTCTTTCCGAGCATCAGAGTCTTTTCCAATGAGTTGGCTCTTGCCATCAGGTGGCCAAAGTATTGGAGCTTCAGCATCAGTCCTCCCAGTGACTATTCAGGGTTGATTTCCTTTAGGATTGACTAGTTTGATCTCCTTGCAGTCCAAAGAACTCTCCAGAGTCTTCTCCAGCACCACAATTCAAAAGCATCAATTCTTTGGCACTCAGCCATCTTTATGGTCCAACTTTCACATCCGTACACGACAGCCAGAAAAACCATAGCTTTGACTATATGAACCTTTGTTGGCAAAGTGATGTCTCTGCTTTTTAATACATTGTCTAGATTTGTCATACCTTTCCTTCCAAAGAGCAAGCATCTTTTTATTTCGTAGCTTATCATCACCATCCTCAGTCATTTTGCCCTGATGAATTTAGACCAGTTATGGTTGAGCCCTAGGGCTGAGCCTACCTTCATTGAGTACTTTACTACCTACTGGATGCCTGAGTAAAATCAGGGTCTCTTGGCAGTGAAGTTGGGGGAAATGGTTATTAGTTACATAACTTTGAGAAATATCTGCTATATCAGCTCTTTTATCTCTATAATAACCAAGTTTTTAGATGAATTAATTGAGTTCCAGAATAATTGAATGACTTATCAGAAGTCACAAAAGTAGATGGTTGAGAATTTGTAATTCTGATTCATGTTTTCTGATGCATGTTTTTTGATTCCAGTTCCTGGTGCTTTTTAAAGCATTTATTAACTTACTAAAGAGGGCCCTCATTCTGTTTCTTTCAGATGCTTAAAGTTTCTGGGAAGTCGGCATCCAACCCTGGTGCTTCCCCTGGTGCCTGAGCTGCTGAGCACACACCCGTTTTTTGACACAGCTGAACCAGACATGGATGATCCAGCCTGTATCCTCTGCTGACTTAGCAGGAAATTTTGGCCTCTTTTTCTGCAGTGTAGCTTTGGTGGTCTGAAGGTCTTGGATTTTGTTTTCTCTTTCTCATTTCTTTTAGTTAAAAGTATATCCTGAGGCAACCTAGTGATAATTATTTTCCTCAGCTTTCGTTTCTGTATTCACAATAATTCACCTTTGCCATTGAATACTACTACTAATTTTTTAGCCATTTATTGAATACCTATATTCCACATATATATATTCCACCTACTGTTTAAATATACTATATTCCACATGCTGTTTAAATACTTCATATATTTTATCACTGATCTTCCAAACAACCCTGGAAGGAGGTTATTGTTCCCTGCTTACAGATGAGGAAACTGAGATCCAGAAAGGTTAAATAACTCTTCAGCAGCAAATCTGGGATAGAGAGTCAGGCATGTTTGGTTTTAAAGGCTGTGGACTTTTCCCCTTCTTATTCCATGTTTCATTTGATTTGCAGCCTTAAGGAGAGGATGGGCTGAGTTAGGGTACATGAATTCTCTAGCTCTAATACAAGCTCAGGGGTGTTAGGATAGCTTTGGGCAGCATGGCATGTAGTTAGGTTGTTTTCCACTAATGGGAATATATTTACATCAATGCATCCATACTCTTCCACGTTTCTTTTCACTCTGTAGCACACCTTTGATGAGGTTTAAGGAGGTATTTATTAAGAGACGTGAACCAGACAAATAACTGGCTGTTGGGGATGACCATTGTTTTCTCTTAATGCTTTTTTTAAATTTTCATAGGGCATTTGGACAGTTTTTTAAAAGATCTGTGTAATTGATGTGCTAACAAATGCCTGACTCTAAGAAAGGTACATCCCTGACGTTACCTCTAAAGGTGCAATGCTATGGTTGTTTGAAATTCAGCTCATCTGACTTGTGGGCTAGGAGTTACTACAAATTACGCAGGATGTATTAAAGTGCCCTGAAATTTGAAGCCCCCTTCACATTAAAAAAACAAAAGCTAAACATTTTTGAAAGTATAATGTTAGTATGTTTGGCTTCGAATAACAGAGATTGCCTCAAATGTTGCTTAAATGTTAATTACAGGTTTGTTTGTTTGTTTTTCTCTCAATGTAAAAGAAGTCTGGAGGTAAGCAGTCTGCTGCTGATATAGTAGCTGTATATTCTTCTTCTTCTTCTTTTTAATTTTTGTCCACTCTGAGAGGCATGTGGGATCTTAGTTCATGAACCAGGGATTAAACCCATGTCCCCTGCCTTGGGAGCTCAGAGTCTTAACCACTGGACCACCAGGGAAGTCCTATCTTGTATTTTTAATTTCTGATTTTCCCTCTGTTACAAAATTAATACACATAGAAAAAATTTTAAAGTGGAAAAAAAAATTCATATTTAACAGCCAGAGTCTTACCAGCTAAAGTAATTGTTAATATTTTGGTGTGCTTCCTTCTCCCTTTTTGTTTATTTATTTTTTTTGGCAATGGTATGACTGTATTTATTGTGCCTAGGAAGCAAGGTGAGGAAGCAACCTCAACATGCAGAGGGTAGGGAAAGTGTGGAGTTCCCTGTAAAATTCAGAAGGTCTCTGCTGGACCCATCACAGTATGAGAGGAAGCTCTCAATAGATCATTCCCTTCATTTCTTCCCTGGGCTTTTAGAAATTCTTCAGGATGATGTTGTATAACACAGCGTAAGCATTGCAGAGCTCCATGATCATCGGTCAGATATCCTGGTACTCTGCCTCCAGCCCCTGCACCAGTTGTCAATAAGACCCACGTGGGGCTGCTTAGCTGCTTTGGTCACGGCATCACCGTGCTCAGAGAAGTACTTGGAGATTTGTGTGCGAAAGCCTTCCAGTTTGGTGTGAAGGGCAGTTATCAGCTCAAACACCTTCTGAACAGCCACTCCAAAATTATTCCCATCCTCAGTCTGAGGTATCTGCAGCTGCAACCAGGTGGTGACCAGGTTTAGCTTCTCAGTGACATCCTTGATTTCAGGCTTCACACGCTGCAGGAGGACCCCAGTCTTCTCATTGCAGCTTACTAGGCTACATCATGGAAGACCTTTGTCTTCATTTTCCCCTTTGTTCTTTTCATCTTGTCCTTTTTCTCCTGCTGTTTTTTCCCCTCCTCCTTCTCTTTCTCTTTGATTGGATCAGGCCTGCCCACCAGGGCCTTCAGATTGCTCTAGTTGGCTTCATTGAGAGTTAGCTCCTTTAAAAATGCATCCAACTCAGAAATCTTCTTGGGTAAATAGCTCCCAAGCAGGTTCTCTGTCTTAATACACAGGTCTTCATTTAACACATCCACCTTGGCTTGGCTTCAGACAGGACCCCGCAGGACCCTGAGCCTGGCCATGGCTGAGGTGGGGGCCTGCGGATGGACGGAGGAGTGGGTATGGGAAAGGGAAAGAGAAAGCAGCAATTACTCCCCCCACGGCCTTCCTGGGTAGTGGGAGTGGATGCACTAGAGGAGGCTGGGACAGACTAGAGGGAGGTGGGGAGGCAGCCTCTCTGCAACCAGGTGGTGACCAGGTTGAGCTTAGAGCCCTAGAGCCCAAGAGGTGCCTTCCTGCCTCCCCACCTGCCCTTCTCCCTTTTTAAAAGCTTGGATTTGGGATTTTGCTGTTATTTTTTTAAACATTTTATTTAATCAAAAAACATTTGATGACAGCTGCTGTCATATCCCCTATACATTTTGGAGACTACTTTTTTCAGTTATAGTAAAACACTTCTAAGATACAATATTAAACTTTTTTTTTTCATTGCCATGAAATTTTATCAGAAGGAACTTAAAAATATGGAATGCTTCACGAATTTGCGTGTCATCCTTGCGCAGGGGCCATGCTAATCTTCTCTGTACATTCCAATTTTAGTATATGTGCTGCCGAAGCGAACACTAAACATCTTTAATAAATGTAATTTTTAATGATTGCATGATACTCCATCAAATAGATGAAACAGAAGTATAATTGTTCTCCTGGTTTTGGACATTTAGATTGTTTCTGATTATTTGCTATTATTTGAATGATTCTCTATTTGAATTTGAGATGTGGAATCACTCAGCATTCATAAGTCTCTTAGGGTGGTGGTTTAGTCGCTAAGCTGTGTCCAACTCTTGCAACCCCATGAACTGTAGCCCACCAGGCTCCTCTGTCCATGGGATTTCCCAGGCAAGAATACTGGAATGAGTTGCCATTTCTTTCTCCAGGGGATCTTCCCGACCCAGGGCTTGAACCTGAGTCTCTTGCACTCAGGCAGGTCTCCTGCGTTGCAGGCAGATTTTTTATTGACTGAGCCACCAGGGAAACCTATAATCTTGTATCAAGTTATTATTCAAAGAGATTGTTCTAGTATATACTTTAGTAGGCATTATACCAAAGTTTGTATTTGTTAGTATTCTTGTCAACAGACATAATTTAAAATAACCTTTCTTTGGTAATGGGGGGAGCGGTAATTGGTAAAATTTGATGTGAGGTTGTGTAGCTCTTTGAATCTGCGTTTGTTTGTTAGAAAAATTGTAGTCATTTAGTAGGAATTTGAGGTGTTAGAAGTAGAGGCACAAAATTCTGACCAGACTCAACCTTCAATACTTCCAAGTTTACTTAACCCACATATTAATCAGACATTGCAGTTTTGGTTCTTATTTTCAATGCTGCTAAAACCTGTCCAACGATGCCTGCATTGTTCTCAGATCATACCTTCAGGCACTATGCCTACCTTCGAGACAGTCTTTCTCATCTTGTTCCTGCCTTGAGGGTATGTTGAAAACATCTTTTCTCCCTGTTGTTGCTTTTTTTGATTTTTAGTCCTTTGTGGTAAATGGCAGAAAGCAGACTATATATTTTCTGAAAACACAGTCATTAATTCTCTTTCTCTCTTATTTTGTACTCCTGCTTCTGAATCCTTTACCTTTTAAGAAGATTCATTTTTTGATTGTACCTGGGTTATTGACTGTGTTATATTAGGCAAGAAGAAGCCTGGAACACATCTTATGTTATTTATTTTTTTTTTAATTTTTTGGCCACCTCATACAGTATGTGGGATCTTAGACCCCTGACCAGGGATCGAACCCACACCCCCTGCTTTTGAAGCGTGGACTGCCAGGGAAGTTTCTGGAAAAGTGTATTTTATTTTTTTATTTTTTGGAACAGCGTATTTTAAATCAAAGATTAGATCCTATTACATTTTAATAATTACATAAAGCTATGATTCTCGTTTATTTTTTAATAATAAAATGTTATTTTAAAAACCTAAGAGTTACAGAAAGAAAAAATTATCAGTATCAGAACCATAATGATGATGATAGCAAACACCCAGTGCTGTGTGCAGGCACTTTGTTAAGCTCTTTATTTGAATTTACTCATCCCTACTTAAATAACTCTAAATGACTTAAATTAGAATAATATATGTATATGGTTAGAAAATTTAAACTATATAGAAGATACTAAGTTAACACTGAAATTTTTGCTCTCTCTCTTTCTCATCCCTTTCTTGAAAGGTAGCCACTTTTAACAGTAAGAACAAGAATTATCAATTATCATAATGTAAAACATTTTTATAGCATGCTATAAATGTTTTTTAATACAAAAATTTACTTGGGAATAAATCATCAGTCTTCTATGAAGTGAATGATCAATAAAGGTTAAAAATAAATGTGGCATTAATTTTTAGTCTCATTTGTGTGGTTAGCCCATTTATTTCAATTAACAATAGAAAATAATATTATACCATTCTCTTTTCTTTTTCTCCTTGCAGCTTGTGGCTCGCTGTATTGGGTAGACCATGTTTATTTTCTCTCTCTGTTTCCCTTTCTCCCACTTAAGCTGAGGAAGGAGAAAAAGATTATTTACAGAATTACCTAGCTCTTTTTCCTTTTCTTTGTTTGACTCACATTTTTTCCCCTGGTTTCTTTGTGTTACCAGAAGTTGAGCCACGGAGTTTGATGGTGCTGTAACCCCACTGTGTTTGCTTAGTTACCAGGTAGAAAACTAGTGTCATCGGGTCTTTCTCCCAATATCACACCTCATGAGGATCCTTCCCATCAGTTCCTGCAGCAGAGCCTTGAAAGGGTATACAGTCTTCAGCACCTCGACCCTCAGGGAACCCAGGAGCTGCTAGAGTTCACCATCAGGTGAGGTGACTGATCATCCCTTTCCTTTGACAGAGTTAATGTCATTATGCTTGGCTTGACCCTTATGATTTCTAATGTTGGTTATAGGCTGGTTTTTCTGACTCTGTTGACATGATTTTATGATGTTTTTATTTTGGATTAGATTGTGGTTTAAGCATATTACAAAGAAAAGGTTTGTGTTCATGACTAGATTGATGATTAGTACAAAACAAGAAAGAGTTAGCAAAGAAGCTGTTTTCAGCTTTTCTTACCTTTATATATGTATTAGTTTGAGTAGCAGAAAATGCAACTAATAGTGGTTTAAACAAGAGGAAAAGTTAATTCTTTCTCATAGGCAGACAGCTGAGGTGGCTGATAACCTAGACTCATTCTTTCTTGTTTCTCAGTCTTCGGCATCAAGTGGCCTTTGCCTGAAGATCCAAACTTTAACTGTCTCCTTTATAATCCAGCCTCGAGAAAACAGGAAAGAGTAGAAGGGCATCATTTCTACAAGCACTCCCTTTAAAGACACTTCCCGCAAAGTTGCATGTTCTAATTTTCCTTGTGTCTCATTGAGTAGAACTTAAGTCACATAACTATATCTAGCTGCGAGGAGCTAGGAGAGGTAGTTTTTGTTCCAAGTGACCAGTGCTTAGTTAGCACATGGTGACTGAGGAAGAAGGGAAGGATATTGATAACAATCAGCAGACTGTCAGGCTCTGTTGGAATGTCCTGCATGATCTGAAAAGAAATGAGACCTGTTTGCCTTTAGCAAAGGCAGTATCTCTGTCTCTGTAAATAGGATTTGATTGAGATACAGCATTTAGCAGCTGCTTTCCTGCTGCAGTGGTCGAGTTGAGTAGTTACCATGGAGACACTATGGATGGCAAAGCCTAAAATATTTACTATCGCATCCTTTATGGAAAAAGTTTGCTGACCCTGAAGTGCTGCCTCAATCACATTTTCTTTCTCATCTGCTCCCTCACCAAGGTGATTAAATTTAGAGGCTGCTACTGAAGTTGTTGGCGTTGAGCCTAGGAAAATAAACTCTATTTCCGACTCAGCCACACCTAAGTAAACATTTAAGTTTTATCCTTGACACTTTACTAACCATTTGGTATTAAGAAATTACAGAATGTATGAAAGTGAGCTTGTTTGGTCATCAGCTGCAATGCCGGCTTTTTTTTTTTTAAGCTAATGAAACTTTATTAAACAATATTTGGAAAAAACCAAAGGAAAAAAAACCGATAAATCTCCGAATCACCCACATACAACAGAAACAAAAAGATGCTATACAGTATTCCTTTCAGATCCACCCTGGCCCTCCACTAGGTAGACCACTGGCATTTGACTTCAGTAAACACCCTGGTTTGAGTCACCCTCATTATCTGGGTTTTATGAGGTGATAGTCCTGCTGTGCTTTGGGCTGGTCAGATGACCGGTCTACTGCTGTGGTCCATCCTGGGCACTGTGTTTTTCGTTAAGTGCATTCTTGAGAAAGTTGGCTAGGATGGTGAAAAATTTGGAAAAAAAAGCAGATGGTACAGTAGTTAGCTGATCACCTACTATGTTTTACAAACATTATTGCAGTTAGATGTTGTAAACCATTTCACGAAGAAGTAGAAATTTGGGGAAATGAAGCAATTTGTTAGGAAATAGAACTGAGATTTACGTCTAGCTTTGTTTGATACTGATGCTCTCTGATATGCAGCAGTAAAGGGGATTCTTATATCCGTGAAGAATGGATCAGATGACCCATGGATTCTTCAGAATTTACATTTTCTGTAGTTGTTGAAAAGTGAACTGTTAGTCCAAATTTCATACAGAAGTTTCTCTGATTAGGATTGTGGTCATTTACTTCTTAGTGCTAGTATCAAATGAATAAAATTCACCGTCATACACATTGTCCTTTGTTGTAATCTAAGCAGCCATGTCGCCCAACTAAGGTTTCACCTCACTACTATAGTTCAGTGACGGTCCTGGGGGATGAATTTTTGGTTGTTTTTAGAATTTGACATAACTTTGAGTTCACCATTGTATTTTGGGTGCTTTATATGAGCTTAGTAAGTATTTGTTGAAAACTTTAGTTGTGGCTTAACCAGGAAGAAAAACTTCTAAGATTTTTATAGATGGCATTTTCTTCTGGTCATACCTCATCTTCAGTCTTATGGATTTGATCCTTTGTAAAGCTCTGCTATCCTTGTTCATAACAAGAGCTGTTTTCTATTAAGTGCCCACTATGTATGCACTCTTCTAAGTGTTTTATGTACATTGTTTCATTGAATTTGAAAACAGTCATATGAGAATTAGCCAACTTTTACAATGAGTGAGGGAGCCTGGGTTCATTAATTTGTTATATGATTTTTCGGCACCCATCGTATGTCAAGCATTGTGCTGGGCCAAAGGGACACAGTCGTAACAAGACATAGTCTCTGTTGCTGGGGATCTTGGAGCCTGGTTGGGTATATAAGGCAGGCAATACTGTGCTTCCCACACAATACATTAAGTACAGGGTTTTCTGTACTTACTGTATTGAAAGAAGATGATGGAAGAGGGGACTCAACCCTTCCATTCATGGCTTAAGCAGTGACCAGAAGAATGAATGAATATAAATTAGTCAAGTGAAGAAGGGAGGAAACTGTCAAAGACAAGGAACAGCAAAGGTCTAGACTAGAACATAGGTTGTTTTAGTCCTTCTGTCAGCATACTGCTCTGTTTCTGGATAAACAGTATATGATATAAAAGATCTAGTATAGTGAGATTTAAAATCTAAAGACTTGTTTCAAATCAAATAGGAAATGTAAAAAATACCTGGAGAAAAATGAAAATGAAAATCCTACAATCTAAAACCTATGGATGCAGCAAAAGCAGTTCTTACAGGGAAGTTTATAGCGATACAATCTTAACTCAAGAACCAAGAAAAATCTCAAATGTCCCAAGTTTATACCTAAAGCAGCTATAGAAAGAAGGACAAACAAAACCCAAAGTTAGTAGGAGAGAAATCATAAAATCAGAGGAGAAATAAATAAGAGACTAAAAGAGCAATAGAAAAGGCTAATGAAATTAAAAGCTGGTTCTTTTTAAAATTATTTTATTTTTGGTTGCATTGGGTCTTCATTGCTACACGTAGATTTTCCCTAATTTTAGAGAGCAAGGGCTTCTCTCTAGTTGCCATGCCTAGGATTCTCATTGCGGTGGCTTTTCTTGTTGTGGAGCCTCGGCTCTAGGTGCAGGGGCTTCAGTGGTTGTGGCTCTGGACTTAGTTGCTCGGTAGCATGTGGAATCTTCCTGGACCAGGGATTGAACCCATCTGGGCCCCCTGCATTGACAGGTGGACTGTTACCAACTGTACCACCAGTGAAATTCCTAAAAGCTGATCCTTTGGAAGAGTAAACAAAATCGATAAATCTTTAGCCAGATTCGTCAAGAAAAATGGGGTCGGGGGATGGGGCAAAACTCCATGGCAGCTTGTGTCAAGCAAGTCATTGTCATTTTTCTAGCATCATTTGCTCATTTTGTATCTCTTTTCACATTCTGATAATTCTCACAATATTTAAGACTTTTCCATTATTATCATATTTATTATGGTCATTTGTGATCAGTGATCTTTAGTGTAACTATTGCAAAAAGATTATAGCTTGCTGAAGTCTCCGATGATCGTTAGCATTTTTTAACAAAAATTGTTTTTAAATTAAGGTACTTGTATTGTTTTCTTAAGACACAGTGCTGTTGCTCACTTAGTAACCTCTGGTGTAGTATAAACATGACTTTTATGTGTACAGGGAAAGAGTTTGCATGCCTAACTTTATTGTGATATTTGCTGTATTTGTGGTGGTCTGGAACTGAACCCATGATCTTCTGAAGTATGCCTGTAATTGCAGGTCACATTGTAGGGATTAAATGAGCTCACGTAAGGAAACACCCCTCACACCTAGTACAGTGCACATAGGCGGTGCTTTTTGTACCTTTTTCATTAACGAGTCCATAGCCTCCTGATGAATGTCTGAACTGAGGCTTCCTAAGGATTGTGGGCATAAAAAGATACAGGGAGGAAACACTGGGACACAGAATGTTTTGAGCAGGGCTAGAAAATTTCTATTTTTGTTTGTATAATAGTTCAGATTTCCTGTAGCTAGTTGGGTAGCATCTTGTTTTCTGCGACTCAGAATAATCATTAGTTACGGTCCAAGGATGGTAGAATGACTTAACACTTGGGAACGGTCAGCTAATGTATAGTCAGCTTGTCAGTGTTCTCTGTAATGCAAGAGAAGGCAGAATCTTGTCTGTAGAACATATGGTTCCAAAGTAGAATGATTCAGGGCCATCTTTTGCAAGATAGGTATTAGTGGTGCAAAAAGGGAGAGACCAGCTGGCCACCAAAATGCCATTTTACAGTTGTGGTTAGCTAGTACAGGGTCTTGCCGTTTGTTGTGATTTCCACACATGAGCAGGCTCTCCAGGATCATCTCAAACCACCAAAACTCAGAGACAATAGTGTAAGCCACAGACCCCAATTTATTCAGTCACTTTGGAAATAATTCCCTCTTCGTCCCTTTCCGGGGCATCTCCTTTTTGGTATCAAGGTCCTCAGGAGGCAGCACTAGCTATCAGAAAGTTGCCCAAGATAAGAGGACAGTGGACAGTTTTGTACAGACTGCTCTGATATATTATGGCAGCCCTGAAAAGAGTTAACTTCTCTCACTAGCCAAATCTTTAGGTTTCTCACAGTTACAATTACTATATGAAATCTTGATATGGATCTTAAAAAACCAGGCAGCTTTCTATGAATTTTCTTGAGATGGATTGTTAGTTCTAAGTATGCTATGGTTAAGTAGTTCATTTATATCATTAAGGATCCAGTTTCTCTCTGCCTCTTTGGATTTTTCTTGTCCTCAACATTTGCTTTATCCCAAGGCTTTTTTTTAGAGTTACAGTATGGCTGCCATTGGTAATCAGGACTATAAAACATTCATTTTAGTAAGAGAGAAAACGGGAACATGAGTGATTCGGAGACCACCATCAAACCTGCTTCAAGTTTCAAATATGAGTCCTTCCAGGGGATTTCCTGGGGGTCCCAGTGGTTAGGGCTCCACGCTTCCACTGCAGGAGGCACAGGTTTGATCCCTGGTCAGGAACTAAGATTGTCGCATGCCACACATCACAGCCAAAAAAAAAAAAGAATAAAACCTTTCCTTCTAAGTAGGACTGATAAGGTCAAATAACCAGGGAGATGACATGTACCAATTGGTTTAATCCAGTTGGACTCTACCTAGAACTAGGTTTGGGGACATCTCTTGAACAAAATCAGGGTTCACTTAGTAGGAAGTAGGAAGGGTTCACATTATTAGGAAGAAGTAGAGCATAAATTAGGTAGGCAGCCAATAGAGCCCACTACAATACTTTAAAAAAAATTTTTCTGATGATATAAAACATACCTGTCCATTGTGTAAAACATTTGGAAAATAAAGCATAGTTGGGAGAAGGCAACAAAAACACCCTAATTCCTCTATCCAGAAAACAGTTTGCTGTCTTTTTCTTATGTGTGTGTGTATATGTATATATATATAGTTTTTATATAATTGAGATCATATACCTTATTACCATATTATGTTTTAATGCTTGTAGAATATTCCATTGACTGGATGTACAGTAATTTATTTAATAATTCCTCTACCATTCAATATTTAAATAATTACTGTGTTTTACTATAATAGTCCATACAACAGTGAATATTGTAGGGCATAAAACACTTCATTTGTTTTGAATATTTCCCTGCTATTTCTCAGGATAAAACTACTTATCAAATTATTTGATTATATATGTGCCTTTGTAATGTATTACAGTTTTACTTTCCAGAAGAAATATATCAACTTAAACTGCTATCAAAATATAAATGAGCCAGTTTCATTATAACCACTTCAGCACTGGGTTCTGTCATTTAAATTTTTTTTTTTAACCAATTTGCTAGGTATAAAATGGTAAATGCTTTTGACATGATCTTTAATTGTTGTCATTATCCTTATTCTCTGTTTGACTTGGGGTTTTATTTATGGCAGGGATCTGCAAAGGCTTGGAGAGCTTCAGTCTGAATTGGCAGGAGTAGCTGACTTCTCTGCTACCTATCTTAGGTGTCAACTGCTTCTCATTAAGGTTGGTTTGAATCCCTTTTGTTCTTGAATATGATGCTAAGAATGCACTTTAATGGATTCAGCAGTGTTTGAGGCCTTAAGTGGAAAAATATATGGTCTTATGCAACTGCTCAGCAATGGGGAAATTATGTACTCTGAAGTATAATTACATTTGTCTCTAATTAAAGAATTGTTAACTCATATAGGAACTTTAATTTTTTAATTTGGGAGAATTCTTTTATTATATAATTGGAGCAGATTGGATTATCAGTTGCATTAGAATCCCAACGATTTTAACTGTTTTTTAATCATTTGATTAGCAAAGATCTTATATAAACATATATATATATATATTTGTAATGCTAATTTCATTTTATCAAAGTCAAATTAGTCAAAGTTGATTTCATTGCTCCTAAAAGGGCCAACTTGCTGGCATTTCATACTAGGTAGGTAGATTACATGTATATATATGTATGTGTGTGTGTGTGTATACCAAATTAGTACCAAAGTTAGTACCAAAAAGCTGTTTCAGTTTACTGAGTTGAAAACCAATTAAACTAGCTTAATAGCTGTCAGCTTCTGCAGCAGAGTCCTGCTATTAATTCAGACTTCTGATTTGGGAGAGCCCTCTCACTTGATAAGACTTTACCTTGGCTTTACTTCTAAGTGTTGTTAGTCTTCAAAGTTGTTAGTGATATTTGACCAAAGTCAGAATAAATGGAGGAGTCAGAAATTATTATACACTGTAAGATATGTGATTTTAGGGTGATGTAGGTGTATGTATACATGTGAAGATGGATGTGTACACTGAAGTAGGTTGGGATTTAAACAGTCCTAAATTGGCTAGATAGATTCATTCAAATATATATACCTTTGTAACCACTAGCACAGTTAAGATGTAGAACATTTCCATTACGCCCAAAAGTTCCTTTATGCACCTTTACACAGTTATTTGGCTTTTCCAAGTTTCTGTAAAATAAGGCTAATAATTACTCTACCCAGGTAAGAATTGGTAGCAAGCAGCATGTGAAAATCCTTGGTCTATTGTCTGGTACATAGTGAGTGCCATGTCATCATTGGTCTTCTTCCTTCTTCCTTGGCTTCCTGTCTTCTGCATTGGAATACAAAAAGGCCTTTGAAAAGAATCTACTTTTCTTTAGTAGGGAAAGAGAAGAGATTACTTAAAAATGTGATATAATGTTACGTACTCAAATGCTTCCCAGGTGGCGCTAGTAGTAAAGAACCCACCTGCCAATGCTGGAGTCCTAAGAGGCGTGGGTTCGATCCCTAGGTCAGGAAGATCCCCTGGAGGAGGAAATGGCAACCCACTTCAGTATTCTTGCCTGGAAAATTCCACGGACAGAGAAGCCTGGTGGGCTACAGTCCATAGGATTGCAACGAGTTAGAACTGACTGAAGTGACTTAGTGCACACACACTCCAAAAAGCATACAAAATTACTCTGATTTCTGACTACAACTATATAAAAAGCATGTATATGAGAAATTATTGGAAGCAAATATTCGAAAACAGTAACTCTGTTAGTGGTAGTATAATTTAGTAGTATAATTTAAAATTTTCTATTTTTTTACTCCAGACTTGCCACTGTCTGATAGTCACTAGGTACATGTAACTGTTGAGCACTTTAAATGTTCATATTGAGATGTGCTGTAAGTGTAAATACACACTGGATTTCTTAGATTTAGTATGAAAAAATTTGAACTATCTCATTAATAATTTTTAAAATATTGATTGCATAGTGATATGATAAACTGGGTTAAATAAACTGTATTGTTAAATTAATTTCACCTGTCTCTTTTTACTTTTTTTGGTTATTGTTATTTTTCTTTTTTTTTAAATTTCAGAGATGTAACTACTAGAAAATGTAAAATCACATCCATGGCTTATGTTATTATATTTCTATTGTACAGTGTAAGTCTAGGTTTTCTGAACTGTCATTATGTCTATAATTAAGAAGGACTATGAAAATAAGAGACTATAGCAGAGGTTTAGATGAGACGCCATATGGATGGATAGGAGAGAAGAGAGATGAAAGGTAAAATTCATGGCTCTAAGTGATAGTTTTGAATATAGAGAGTTAGAGAGCAAGGAATCTAGGAAAGCTTCTTGATTTTTTATTTGAGTATGTTGGTCAGGTGATGGGGCTGTTCGCAGATAGTGGGCATAGAGCAAAGAAAAAGGAATCAAGTCAAGGGGTCTGGGCTGTCAGGATAGTCTATGGGCTTTGAGATTAGGAGGTCCCAGAGCCTCAGAAGCCTAGCCTGCCTGGACATTGTGATGAGGCCTTCATGTCTCCTGCACTCTGCTTGCATTCCCTGGTCTGGGGCATGGGGACTTTGGGCCAAGAATTGAACGGGGAGGATTGCATTTGGCCCAAATCATTGGTTTCCACTCTGTCATAACAGGTAAGGCTTATTGGCTTAAAAGAGTAAGACTGAGAGAAAGTCTTGATCACAGTAAATTTTCAAAGCAAAACAAACACCTAAGTCTCAAATGGTATGGCAGTCTTTCTGACCTCTGTGTCCTGTCTTCTGCTGACTTGTTAGGCCCTACAGGAAAAGCTGTGGAATGTGGCTGCCCCTTTATATTTGAAGCAGAGTGATTTGGCCTCAGCAGCAGCAAAACAGGTAAGCTTATTGAGACCTTCTCCTCAGATAGGTATTTGTCCAGAAATTGTGTTCTCTAAGTTAGTTAGAGTCAGAGGACTTCACAAGGCTCTGCTGGGCTCCCCACTTTCAGCCTGTGACAGAAGTTAGTGATACGAGGAGCAGCATAATTAGGGGACACAGCCCTGGCTTTCGAGTCAGGGGACTTCGGTTCTGTTCCCATGTCTGCCTCTGATTTGCTGGGCGATATAGAGCAGGTTACTTAATCTCCCCAATTTCTAAGATTTCTTTTGTGTTCTCAAATATTATTAATTTGTATTTCAGAAATGGGGGGCTTCCCTGTTGGCTCAGTGGTAAAGAATCCGCCTGCCAGTGAAGGCGATGCAGGTTTGATCCCTGGGTTGGGAAGATGCCCTGGAGAAGGAAACGGCAACCTACTCCAGTATTCTTGCGTGGGCAATCCCACGGATGGAGGAGCTTGGTGGGCTATAGGAGCCTGGTAGTCCATGGGGTTGCAAAAGAGTTAGATACAATTTAGTGGCTAAACAACAAATTTCAGATATACTAAAATTGAATTATAATATTATGAATATTTCATCTGAAAATGTAGCTGCACTCAGTTTGAGGTTGTTTATATTTTCAGCCTGTGCCATCCATCTCTCTCATTTCTTTAACCATCTTTTGAATATTTAAAGGTCCTTATGTTTCTCCTAAGTTCATTAAGTAGAATTTAATTTTACTTGCCTTAAGTGTCTTTCTTTTCTAGTTTTGAGCAATTTCCCTTCATTTATGGATATTGGCATTTGGGAACTCTTCTGGGTTATGTCTTCCTAATAGTAAGTTTATATATGACTAATTATGACCCAGTAGGAAGCTAATGGTGGTGACTATAATTGTTACATTATAGTTCACGAAATGATTTCAAGTCTGTTTTACTTAATCCTAATAATAATCCCATTAGGTGGAACTTCCTGGCAGTCCAGTGGTTAGGACTCTGTGCTTTCACTGAAGGGGGCACGGGTTCAGTCCCTGTCAGAGAACTAAGATCCTGAAAGGGGCATGGCACAGCTGCTGCTGCTGCTAAGTCGCTTCAGTAGTGTCTGACTCTGTGCAACCCCATAGACAGCAGCCCACCAGACTCCACCGTCCCTGGGATTCTCCAGGCAAGAACACTGGAGTGGGTTGCCATTGCCTTCTCTGATGGCATGGCTATACACACACAGATCCCATTGGGTAGCAATAAGTATTGAGTCCATTTTACAGATGAAACAGCACTCAGCAAGGTTATAATCAGAGAGCTATAGGTAGTAAATCAGAGACTTGGCCTCAGATCCTCTGATACCCAGAGTCTGCTTTCTTTCCACTAGTCTGCTTGATCTCTAACCTGGCCCCCCTCTCAGACCTGCCATGTGGCTTGTAGGGGGGTAAACTTAATGACTACAGAGTGGAGATGGAGACCGGCCGTGTTGGGAGCGATTGGACCAGGGAGCAGTATTCTGGAAGACAGAAAGGGATTCCCATTGCTATGTGACAGTTGGGCTTCCTTGGTGGCTCAGATGGTAAAGAGTCTGCCTGCAAGATGGGAAACTTAGGTTCAATCCTTGGATCAAGAAGATCCCCTGGAGAAGGAAATGGCAACCCACTCCAGTATTCTTGCCTGGAAAATCCCATGGATGGAGGAGCCTAGCGGGCTATATAGTTCATTGGTCACCAAGAGTCAGACACGACTGAATGACTAATACTTCACTTTCATGTGACAGTTACTGTTAATCACCTTCCATGCCCCGTTTAATCGTTTAAATTTTATTATGTTGGTGCTGTGTCTTCTGCATTTACAGTTAAGGAAACTGAAGCACCGTGTCATTAGGAAATATATCTTACTGTCAGTTGTAGGAGAACCTGGAGTCATTTCTCTGACTCAGTGCCTTCAAAAAACACAGAAAGGAAAGAGAAACATCATTAGAGGGGAGTCGCTACCTTGGATAGAATGGAACAAGAGCTTAAGATGCACTGGGCTTGAGCTGAGATGACTGATACTGTTTTCTGCACTGATTCCCTCCCTAAAATCCCTCTGACAGACCCAGCTCATGGAGCAGACTAAATGACTAACAGCTGGGTCATGGTTCCTGACACTAAATTCTTGAGGGCCTTTCTTGAGGTTTATGTTTCTGTACATATCCATTTGCTGCCATGCACAGTGAGTTTGCTTTAGAGTTACAAGCAGTGCTTTACAGTGTTATCCGTAGGTAAACTTTCATATCTGTCTGTCATCAACTGAATAATATTACCAGATGAGTTTATTTTAATTGACAAAATAATTTATTCTCTTTTCACGACTTACTAATTTCTCTCAATATATATATTAATTTCTCTCAAATTATATCAATTTCTGTCAACATAGGCACTTAAAAATCTCAGCTCAGAATTGAAGCAGAGGCCTTAAAAAAAAAACCTCTGTTCAGATCTAGTTTCACTTAGAATTCTGTGCTGCTGTTTTCCTTATAGATCATGGAAGAAACCTATAAAATGGAGTTCATGTATAGTGGCGTGGAGAACAAGCAGGTGGTGATTATCCATCACATGAGGCTGCAGGCCAAAGCCTTACAGCTTATAGTAACAGCACGGACTGCTCGAGGGTAAGATGTGTGGTTGGCAAAAAAAGGGTGGCCCAGTCCTTTTAAAGACACCTAAAAATGCATTCAGAGATCTCACCAAGGTTAATGATGCATGAAATTATATTTCAGAAAGATTACATAAGGGATGGACTTCCCTGGTGGCTCAGAGAGTAAAGATTCCGTCTATAATGCAAGAGACCTGGGTTTGATCCCTGAGTCAGGAAGAACCCCTGGAGAAGAAAATGGCAACTCACTCCAGTAATCTTGCCTGGGAAATGGCATGGACAGAGGAGTCTGGGGAGCTACAGTCCATGGGGTCACAGAGAGCCAGGCATGACTGAGGGACTAACACTTTCAGTGTTACTTTTCACCTAAGGGATATTGCAAGCTCTTCATTTCTTGAGATATTCCAAATTCCATTCTTAGATCATATTAGATCCCTAGCAAAACCCTTCAGTGGCTCTCCATTGCCTACAGCAGAGCATAAGATTTCATCTGGCAACAAAGTGTACTATATGATCCCTGATAGATTTAAGAATTTAGTGCCTGAACCATTTTGTTTTCTCTTTTGAAAAGACTAGTGCTTTGTCTCAGGCAGCAAAGACAAATTTTGAGACTGTCTGGTGCTGTGAGACTACTTTGTTCAAATCTTGACCTTTCTACTTACTCATTGTTTGATTACAGGCAGGCTTTTTTTTTTTTTTTCCTGCCTCTCTCTGCCTTGTTTCCCCACCTGTAAAATGAGAATGATGACAGCATCTATCTCATCAAGTTTCCATGAAGAATCAGTTCAGTCGCTCAGTCATTTCCAACTCTTTGTGACCCCATGAACTGCAGTACGCCAGGCCTCCTTGTCCATCACCAACTCCCGGAATTTACTCAAACTCAAGTCCATTGAGTCGGTGATACCATCCAGCCATCTCATCCTCTGTCGTCCCCTTCTCCTCCCGCCTTCAATCTTTCCCAGCATCAGGGTCTTTTCAAATGACTCAGCTCTTCGCATCAGGTGGTCAAAGTATTGGAGTTTCAGCTTTAGCATCAGTCCTTCCAAAGAATATTCAGGACTGATTTCCTTTAGGATGGACTGGTTGGATTTCCTTGCAGTCCAAAGGACTCTCAAGAGTCTTCTCCAATACCACAGTTCAAAAGCATCAACTCTTTGGCGCTCAGCTTTGTTTATAGTCCAATTCCCACATCCATACATGACTACTAGAAAAACCATAGCTTTGACTAGATAGACCTTTGGTGGCAAAGTAATGTCTCTGCTTTTGAATATGCTGTCTAGGTTGGTCATAACTTTTCTTCCAAGGAGTAAGCGTCTTTTCATTTCATGGCTGCAGTCACCATCTGTGGTGATTTTGGAGCCCAAAAAAAGTCTGTCACTGTTTCCACTGTTTCCCCATCTGTTTGCCATGAAGTGATGGGACCAGATGCCATGATCTTAGTTTTCTGAATGTTGAGCTTTAAGCCTACTTTTTCACTCTCCTCCTTCACTTTCATCAAGAGGCTCTTTAGTTCTTCTTTACTTTCTGCCATAAGGGTGGTATCATCTGCATATCTGAGGTTATTGATATTTCTCCCAGAAATCTTAATTCCAGCTTGTGCTTCATCTAGCCCAGTGTTTCTCATGATGTACTCTGCATAGAAGTTAAATAAGCAGGGTGACAATATACAGCCTTGATGTACTCCTTTCCCAATATGGACCCAGTCTGTTGTTTCATGTCCAGTTCTAACTGTTGTTTCCTGACCTGCATACAGATTTCTCAAGAGGCAGTTAAGGTGGTCTGGTATTCCCATCTCTTTAAGACTTTTCTACAGTTTATTGTGATCCACACAGTCAAAGGCTTTGGCATAGTCAATAAAGCAGAAGTAGATGTTTTTCTGGAACTCTCTTGCTTTTTCGATGATCCAACAGATGTTGGCAATTTTATCTCTGGTTCCTTTGCCTTTTATAAATCCAGCTTGAACATCTGTAAGTTCATGGTTCACATACCTTTGAATCCTGGCTTGGAGAATTTTGAGCATTACTTTGCTTGCATGTGAGATGAGTGCAATTGTGTGGTAGCTTGAGTATTCTTTGGCATTGCCTTTCTTTGGGGTTGGAATGAAAACTGACCTTTTCCAGCCCTGTGGCCACTGCTCAGTTTTCCAAATTTGCTGACATATTGAGTGCAGCACTTTTACAGCATCATCTTTTAGGATTTGAAATAGCTCAACTGGAATGCCATCACCTCCACTGGCTTTGTCCATAGTGATGCTTCCTAAGGCCCACTTGACTTCGCATTCCAGGATGTCTGGCTCTAGGTGAGTGATCACACCATCGTGATTATGTGGGTTGTGAAGATTTTTTTTTGTATAGTTCTTCTGTGTATTCTTACCACCTCTTCTTAATGTCTTCTGCCATGAAGAATGAATGGGGTAAAATGTGTAAAATCATCAACATGGTACTTGGTACATAGTTAGGCTTCATTATAATGGTGGCTGTTAGACTTTCTGAGAATGAGAATTGCTATTTCATTGATTCTGAAATGTTCATTTAAAAAATTTAACTTCTCTGAAATCAGATATTTTAATGATGTTCTATAGTTTGATTGAAAGTGTTTTTTGTTTCTTGGTGTCTCATAAAAGTGCATCTTAAGAGTGATGGCACCAAAGATTTCGTATATATAATATGAACTTAGGGAACTTGTTATCAGACAGAAGACACATTTAATGCTCAGTCCACTAGTTGTGTTAGACTAAAATCATGTAGAGAAACAAATATATGAGTGTTCAAGTAAGCACCTAAAAAACACATTAGGAAGAACATTCTTTTTTTTTTTTTAGGAAGAACATTCTGAGTGTTGTTTTATTTCTTTGCTTATCTTGATGGTGACCTGATAAGGTCAGGTGGTACCTTAATTTTAGAGATAGCCATACATTCATTTAGCAAATGTTAAATCCCTGCTATGTGCCAGTTGTAGCTGAGAAAATATAAGTGCTTGTGATAGCATCTACACTTTTTTATTAAAGAAAATGGATTTCCTTTTCAGTTTATATAGAATTATTTTAAACATTCAAATATTGCAGATTAAGCAAACATTTTGTTCTCTGGTAATCTACCCCTTGTAAAACACCTAAGTATCCATTTAGATTATAAATATGTATGTTTAATATAGATTGAATCATAACATACTTGTCTGTTGTGCCTTATTTTTACTTGATCCAGCAATATGATATTTCATGTTTCCATGTTGTTAATAAGATTCCAATATATTAGGTCTTTACTCATTTTTTTTTTTTTTTTTTTTTTGGCTGTGCTGCTTCTCTGTGGCATGTAAAATCCAGGAATGAAACCCATGCCACCTGCTTTGGACCGCCAGAGAAGTCCCTCATACTATATTATTTTATATTTTCCATTTGTACGCATTCCTGCTTCTTTTTCTTTTTCCTTGATTTTTGCTGGATTGATTGTTTTGTTTCTCTCTTCTTCTAGGGGTTTGGAGGTTTTATACTATTCAAATTTTAAACTATTCAAATTAGAGACAGTAGAATATAATAATGGTTCAGAGGGCTGGGGTGCCTCATAGCTTAGATTCAGATCTTAACTCCACCATTTGCAAACTTAGTAACCTTGGGCAAGGTACTTAAGAATGTCTCTTAATTTGTTTCCTGTAAGTTAAACTGGGACAATGTTAGTACCTGAATCTCTGTCATAAAGTTATTGTAAGGATTATTGAATTTTTATATGTAAAGCCCTTAAAATACTGCCTGACACATTAAGAATAAACACTTAATAAATGTTAGCTCTTTTTAGTTGAATAAATAGTATTTTTACTCTTATATTTTTTAGTAAATTGATTGACCTTATATTTATTAGCATTAAAAATAGAATTTATGATCACCTTTATCAAAACCACATTTAATCAAAATACAAGTTTAAGTATACTTTTATTTTCTAGTTTCACATTGTTAAATAATTTAGAATTTAGTTTTAGATTATCCTTTTTTTAAATTATAGCTGATTTACAATATTAGTTTCAGGTATTCACTATTTTTACAGATCATACTTCATTAAAAGTTATTACAAGATAATAGCTATAGTTCCTTGTGCTGTCCAGTATGTTGAATTATAGTTTTTCATGTATGTCTTATTTTATGAATTCTTTCTTAAAATATGCATCAATCTTGATAAGTACATTGTCAAAATTATTTAGCTCCAACTTGCCCACCACTGCTGTTTTTGTACTGCAGTTGTCTTTTAAAAAAAAATTATTTATTTGGCTGTTTGGTCTTAGTTGCTGCATGCAGGATCTTTAAATTCTAGCACGTGGGATCTAGTTCCCTCACCAGGGTTGGAACCCAGGCCCCCTACATTGGGAGTTCAGAATCTTAGCCACTGGACCACCAGGAAAGTCCCTACAGTTGCCTTTTAAAATTCCCTGTTCTAATTCGCTGTGTATCTGACTGGAACACATTCACTAGTGATTGTTTTTTAGAATAAGTACATAAGTAGTGTACTCACTGAGACTTTGCATATCTAAAGCTTTCTTTTGCTTTCATATGGGAATGGAGTTCTTTCAGAACTAAATATTACTATATCTGTTTTGTTCTCTTTCCTTTGTAGTTAGCTTATTTTTCTCAAAGCTGCAAACTTTTCTTTTTAGAATTCAGAAATTTCTGAATATGTCTGTGTTTTCTTTGCTTGCTCTTACTGACCTTTAGTGGGACTTTGAAGTCTTAGCTCTGTTTTATCTCAGAGTTTTTTTCCCCTCTATCATTTCTTTAATTACTTCTTCTTCTATCCGCTTCAATCTGTCATACTGGATATTGTATCATCTGGCTCTATTTTTCCTCTATTGTATCTTTTCTCTCATAATTTCAGTTTCTTTTTCTACTTTATATTCTGAGTAAATTCCTCAGCATGCTCTTTTAATTTACCATTTCAGTTTTCATCATTTTTCCTTTTAGTGTTCAATTGTTGAATTGATTTCAGTATTATTGTTTATTTCTGTACCTTTTTTGTAGCAGTTTTTCTTGCTTTATCATTGCAATATCGTTTCAAATCTTCTCTTCAGTCTTACTGAGATTGTTTATTAGAATTTTTAAAAAAGGTTTCTGTGCTTTTTTGCCTTGATATTATCTCATTGAGGTCTTCTTGGTTTCCTTGACAGCTCCTGATCATCCTTATAACATCTAGTAATTTTTCATTGTGTTTTTATACTTATAAGTGAAAGTTTAGGCCAATTTAAATTGGTAATTGGTATTGGCTTACCTAACAGTTACAGGTCAGTGTTTGGTTTTCCCTAGTGGGCCTTGCTCTTACACTGAAAATGGGGGGTTCTTAGTGGTAGAGGCCTACTTCATGTAACATGTAGGTGAGGCTATCTACTCTGTTTGGGGGTTTGGAGCGAGTTCTCAAATCCTTTCATATTTTACTGCTTGGAAATTCTCCAAACTGGTTGTATGTAAGCAGGCCAAAAAATGTACTACTTGGCTCACTTGCTTTCAGTTCAGCCTCTACATAGCTGGAGTTGTCCTCTGTAGCCCTCTCATCCTTGATGGTCTTTGGTTGGTTAACCTCACTAGCAAATTTCAGTTCCACTTCTGGTAGTTTTTCAGAGTTAAGGAAGATTCAAGTGCTACACACTTTTTAGGAAAATAATTCAGATTAATGTTGCTTTTAGAATACATTTCCATTTGCCATTTATCATTTATATATCCATTCAACAAATAGTTATTGAAGAGCTGCTTGTTTCAGGAAATGCTGGATTATTAAGAACCTTGGTCCCACACTCTTACTTTTCTTTAGCTTGCACTGGGCCTTTGTTGCTGCGCCAGGGCTTTCTCTAGTTGTGGTGGCTTCTCGTGGTGCGGAGCACAGGCTCAAGGCGTCCGGGCTTCAGTAGTTGCAGCATAGCACCGGGGCTTCAGTAGTAGGCTTGAGGTCCATAGAGCACAGGCTCAGTAGTTGTGCACGTCCCCTGCATTGGCAGGCAACAAGAAGGAACTCTCAGTGAACTCTTAATTACCTGATGCAGATGCCAAAGCTTTGGCCTTCACTGAGTGCAGTGATTCTTGCAACTGAGCATATCCCTTTAGGTACCCTGGAAGGTATAATTGTGGGTTACTTCAAGAGATATTAGCACCTATGAGGCATGAGGTTTCTCTGTGAAAATGGCCTCCACATTGGCCTGATGTAGATCTCATCTCCTTGAACCTGAGCTGTCAAAACTCCCAGAGAGCTCTGTGGGTTGCTGCCTGGGCTGCTGCATGGAGGAATGTGGCATTGCACTGCCCTGTAGTGCAATATCTGAGCCCAATCTGGTGCCCAGTGTGCCTGTGATAGTCTTCGATTTTGAATATTCATTGAGCCTAATGAGCACTGCACTGTTTTAATTGGGTCTTGGGTTGCTGACAAATGTTTCCCTGTAGGTCCTTTAGAAGTCCTTTAAGAGAAATAGAATTTTTAGTGTAATATGCTCATTGTCTTTCCATGTAGGTTCAGTTTCTGGGACTTTGGTCTTTACTACTCAGTTCTTGGATTTCGAATAACATGGGTTTTTATATGTTTGTTTTGTTGTTTTTTTCTCTTCTACAGAGTTGACCCCTTATTTGGAATGTGTGAAAAATTTTTACAGGAAGTAGACTTTTTTCAGAGGTAAGTGTTTGATCACCTTCTAGCTTATTAAATCTTGCTTACATAGAGAATTGCATTTATAGGGAAACAGGAGTGATCACAACTAGAATCCTTGGTTTAGCCCTTGTAGCCAGTGTGCCCTAATTTGTATGTAGTTAGCTGTCAGTATCAGCGGCTTCTGCATTCATGGATATGGAGGGCCTGACTGTACTATTCCATTTTATGTAAAGGACTTGAGCATCCATGGATTTTGGTATGTACTAGGGGTCCTAGAACCAATTTGCCACAAATACTGAGAGATAATTGTATTTTCTTTACTGGTATGTAAACTTCCTAAGTTAGCTAAACATACAGCATAATAATAAAAACATCAGAAATTATTGAATGTTTTGATTCAGTACTCAGCTGGGCCAGAAAAAGACAAATATGTGGAAAAACGCAAAAGTTACAACTTGTCTATTTTTTTCACTGTGGTTCTGTAAGTTGCATGTTTCCTCTCTTTATCTACAAAATATTGTTCCATAATTCTGTAGGTAGCTTTTATTTTGTAGCCTAGATATGTTTTCTGAGGATTCTTTGTGAAGTTAATTGGCTAAAACTGATGCAGTCAATGAGTGGAAGGCTTGGTGAAACAGTAGGAGTCAAAGTAGTGACCAGACGTGTGGTATGCAGGCTATTCAATACTGGGAAGAAGGATTTATAAGAATTTAAAATGTAATACTTTTGAAATCTAACGTTTCATTCTTCCACTCCTTGTTCCTACCCCCCTGAACTTTACCAAACCTGACTCTACAGGTTTGAAAGACTCTTTGCTTTTCAGGCTTTTTTCGTTTGGATGATGACAGCTTCCTACAGGGCTAGGTTGCAGTACTACCCTCACCAGTAGGGGCTATGCTGTGCTGTGCTGTGTTTAGTCGCTCAGTCGTGTCTGACTCCGGAGAAGGCAATGGCAACCCACTCCAGTACTCTTGCCTGGAAAATCCCATGGACGGAGGAGCCTGGTAGGCTGCAGTCCATGGGGTCACGAATAGTCGGACTCGACTGAGCGACTTCACTTTCACTTTTCACTTTCTTGCATTGGAGAAGGAAATGACAACCCACTCCAGTGTTCTTGCCTGGAGAATCCCAGGGATGGTGGAGCCTGGTGGGCTGCCGTCTATGGGGTCACACAGAGTTGGACACGACTGAAGCAACATAGCAGCAGCAGCAGCGTGTCTGACTCTTCGTGATCCCATGTACTGTAGCCCGCTGGGCTTCCCTGTCCATGGTGATTCTCCAGGCAAGAATACTGGAGTGGGTTGCCATGCCCTTCTTCAGGGTATCTTCCCAACCCAGGGATCGAACCCATGTCTCCTGTGTTGCAGGCAGACTCTTCTTCATCAGCTGCGCTATCAGGGAAGCCCTGCTCTCTAGTAAATAATACAGTCTAGCTTGACTCTTCAGATCCTGACTTCAAATCTCTACAAAGTCCCTGCCTTACTTTTGGTTTTAGATTTTTATTTTTAATTAAAGTATAGTTGGTTTACAGTGTTGTATAAATTTCTGGTGTACAGAAAACTGATTTAGTTAAACATAGCTTTAGATTCTTTAAGGTGGAGAGTCTGTTTATGCACAGTTGGATTGAAGAGATTTGGAAAGATGACAGCTCTGATTTGCCACAGAGGAGAATGTGTTAAGAGCTGTACATTCTTCCTTAATTCAGCCTCTGAGTCTCAGTATTGATGTCACCCCCTCGGTGAAATATTTTTTAACTATCTCCTTTTACAAAGCAAAGTACCATGGAATCATTCAGAGCTGGGAGTAAGTTACTTAACTTTTTTAAGCCTCATTACAACATTATCCTCTCTGAGTCTCAGTATTCTTATCAGTGGTTATAAGCTGCATTAAAACAGACTTTTTCTTCTCTTTGGCTTGGTGTTTATGTTCCCATTGTCTAGAATAGTACCTACCACCTGGTAAGGCCTAAATATATTTTTTATATTAATTAATGAATATATGATAGGAAAATAATATTTCTAACAATACACAGGATTGCTAGATTAAATAAGATAGTATAAAACACTCAAGAGGTTGCCTGGCACATTTTAATAAACATGGCTATTATGATGACTTTGTCACTGCAGCTTACTTATATAGGTGCGTGGCTTTCCTCAGGAACCATGATCTCCTCCAGTTCACTCCTCAGGGCCTGGCAGAAGTTCAGGGGTCAGCCTGTGGTGAATGAATTCCTAGTTGCTTCTGTTTGCTCCTTCAGGTGTTTCATCGCTGATTTGCCCCACCTGCAGGACAGCTTTGTGGACAAACTTCTTGACCTCATGCCCCGACTCATGACATCCAAACCTGCAGAAGTGGTCAAAATTCTGCAGACCATGCTGCGGCAGAGTGCCTTCCTACACCTCCCCCTTCCAGAGCAGGTCAGTGTCTGTGTCGGTATCTTGACCCCTGCAGTGCAGGTCTGTCCAGAGAATCAAAACTGCTCACCTTGGGGATCTTCTTTGACTTAGTGGAGCAGCTGAGTTCAGGCCTTCCTTCTGTTTGACTAACATAATGTCCATCCATTAGATAAGGAGATCGTGTTTTGTTGCCCAGGGATGACCTGGCTTTAGAATCGTATTTTCTTCTTGTTTACAGATCCACAAAGCCTCCGCCACCATTATTGAGCCAGCAGGCGAGTCAGACAACCCTTTGAGATTTACGTCTGGGTTGGTGGTGGCCCTGGATGTTGATGCAACCCTGGAACACGTGCAGGATCCTCAGAACACTGTGAAGGTCCAGGTCTGTCAGGTTTTGATTCCCATTGAGAACTGACTTTGTGTTGAAACTTTTCACTTTAGCACCCCCTGTAATCTCTGCCTGAGGGACAGAAGCTGGGGAGAGGGAAGAGATGCTTTTATGGACAAGAATGTGGGCACAGTTCCCAGCTCTACTGCTGAATATGGTTTGGAGCAAGTTACATTAAACTCTGTGTCTCAGTCAGGTTCTACAACTGACAAGTAGGAATGGTAATGTTGAAATGAAGTGATGTATTAATGTGGAAAGTCCTTGGTCCCCACTATGGGTTCATTAAATGGCAGGGCCCCTTCTATTCTTACAATGTGAAGTTAAGACTTGTTATTTTTAGGACTATAAGCAAATTGTAATAAGCAAATTCATGCAGGCTGTGGTTAGGTCAGCTTGGTGAATAAAATTTATGGGTGGGGAAAAAGCTGTCTGAGGGAGTATTTTTCCCAAGTTAGGTAGATGTACTAGAGAGATGGGAGAGATTCAGTATAGACACTAATCAGTTTATAACATTCTGTAGTTGAGCCCCAAAGGAGTCCTACCCATTTATCATTTCCCTCCTTTCTTCCTTCCCTCCTTTCTCCTTCCTTTCCTTTTTTCCATCCATGCAGTAATGTTTACTCTGTTGCACATGCTAAGTGCTCGGCAAGTGAATTAGAATTCCTGCCCTCAGGATGTTTAGTTTCAGTGAGAGACAGCCAAGTGGACAGGCAGTTGTAAAACAGAAGTTCAGCCATCAGTTCAGGCAGGTGCAGGATGAATTAAGAATATTATGGTTTCTTATTAAATAGCAGATTGCTCCCACAACATAGATCTAGTTTTGGGAGCCACTTGCAACACAGCCTCCTGAAATGAGACACAGCTTTTTAAATGACCTGTTTTCAAGACTAAGACTGATTCAGTAAGATAGTGGACTGACTTAACAGACTCAGTTTCTGGATTGTGAAGCTCCTTAGAAGTTTTAAAGGTGAGAATGAAGGTGGACAGAATATACCACCCCAAAATAAGTCTTTTGGGCCCAAAGATTCTTTGTAGTGATTATTTTTGAGAGTCTGTAGACACAGGTGAATCTCTGGAAACAGAGTAGAATTGCCCTTTTTGAGAGGAAAATTTACGTTTGTAAGGGAAATCTCCATTTGTAAGTTTTCTCCCTCTTAGTATCTGGAAGGCTAATCTCTAGAAGCTCATCAGTGGAGAGTATGCCAACTTAAATTTGCCTGACAACCTTACCCTTTTTCATTTTGTTTTATTTGATGGCCTCCTGTAACAGGCTCTCTTTCTCTTCAGCATCTTTCTTTTGTCTTTCGCTGAAGATGGTATTTAAGGTGATGGCTTGGGCAGTTTTAAGGAGTGACTCAGTTTTCTTAGGTCTCTTCTTTATATATAAAGATGTATTTATATATATGTGTGTATGTGTGTATATATATATATATGTATTTGTTATTAAGCATGTTTTTCTCCTGTTAATCTGCCTTTATTATAGAAGGGTCTCAGACAAGAACCTAGAAGGGTAGAGAGGAAATTATTTTTCCTTTCCTACAGGGTTATTTTCAATTTTTGGCTTCTATAAAAAATTAATCAGTATACTTAAAAAATACATATGTTACCGAGTGCAAGCTCGCTCTGTTGCAAGGAGGGGGACCCTTTCCAACGCCCAAAACTGGGCTTTTGTCTAGCACTTGGAAATGAATTGTCTGAGGAGACACATGCACTGACAAAGCAAGAGATTTTGTTGGGAAAGGGCGCCCGGGTGCAGAGCAGGAGGGTCAGGGAACCCAGGAGAACAGCTCTGCATGTGGCTTGCAGTCTCAGGTTTTTGGTGATGGGATTAGTTTCTGGGTTGTCTTTAGCCAGTCATTCTGACTCAGAGTCCTTCCTGGTGGTGCCCACCTTGTTCAGCCATGATGGATGCCATCGAGGATTCTGGGAGGTGGTCGGACATGTGGTGTCTCCTTTTGATCTTTCCCCAGCTCTTCCGGTTGGTGGTGACTTATTAGTTCCGTGTTCCTTACCAGGACCTCCTGTCCTAAAACAGCTCATGCAAATGGTTACACTGGTGCCTGGCCAGGGTGGGCGGTTTCAGTCAGTGTGCTTCCCCAAACAGCTCTGCTCACTGCAGGACAGGCCAGTGAATCTGAGAGACGAGGTGTTGAGGCAAAGAAGAGACTTTAATCAGGGAGCTGGCGGACCAAGAAGATAGCAGGCTAGTGCCTCAAGATAACCATCTTATTGAGGTCTGGATGCCAGGTTCTTTCAAAAATTAGAGAGAAAGAAGCAATGAGGAACTCAAGTCAAAAGGCAGAATAGAGAGGGAGATGCAGTGGGGAAGTAAAGTGAAAGGGTCTTCAGTTTTGCAAAACATCTCCAAGGGAATGGCCAGCCTTCAGAAGGGTGTGTTATTCTCTCCTATTCACAGGTGGACAAGGACAAAGTATCTCTCCATGAGCTGAATAAAAGCACTTTAGTTTACAGTCAAGCAGAAGACCAAGGTCCTCCAGGCAAGCCACTGAGTATAATTATAATAATAAAACAAGTCAAAGAAACAGTTTCCAACATGGAGTCAGAATTGGCTTCTTCCCTGCAATATATATATGTATATACATATACATATACACAGTTTATGTATATATGTATATATAAGCTATTCAGATAAGGACTACTATGGGACAAACCCTTAATTTGTGGCTGAAGAAAAAGACCTTGTGGAGATACTGTGGCATGGATTAGGTCTGAAAGGATGATTAAGAGCAAAGGATCGAGGTATTCCAGGCAGAGAGAATGTGAATAAACACTTTCAGTGAGTACAGAGAAGTAGCTTGGAGCAGGCAGGGTCGGCTTCCTGGAAGAGAGTAAGGATGAGTCAGGTCTGGAGATGGTGATATTTGCCTGCAGTGAGAGTAGAGGAACAGTATCTTCTGGCTTTCCATCCGAAATTATTATAAATTATGAGACCTGCAGGGAACTAATTCTGAGCTGCCTGTGAAGTTGTGCTGCAGCTTTTTTTGTTTTGCTCTGTCGACTGAAAAAATAATGCACAGCCTAGAATTGGAGAGTTAGGTTTTTTTTTTTTAAGCGGATGTTCTTAGGGCTTCAAGCCTGGGAGATAGCATCTCAGATTAATGCTGAGAAAATTTTTCTGAAGAGGAAGTGGGGGAAACTAGGTTATACAGGAATTTTTGCAGCAACACCAGGTACTCACAATGAAAGATTACTGTTTGTAAAAGAAAACTAGATATCTCAAGGAGTTTAGTACTTTTCTGTATCTGGGAAGATGGAAGAATCTGGACTCACTGAAATCGTTCCTTTGATATGCACCTCAGCCATCTGGGGCCAGTATCCTGTTTTCTCATCCTGAGTTTCCTCAAGCTGTACCATGGGTGTGACTGCAGTCCGATGACTGCTAGATGGTGGACATTCCTTGTTTCTGCCCTGTGTTCTCCCAGGGCTCACAGTTGGAGGGTGGCTGCTGTCTCTGATGGCTCAAAATCCTTTGCTTACTGAAATGGCAGGCAGTATTTTATTTCTCACTCCCAACATTAGCTTCACCCTAGCTCCACTTTCGAATTACTCAGAATGTGTTAAAAACAATACTGATGCACAGGCTTCAACCTATACCAGTTTAAGTCAGAATCTTGAGTAGAACTCATGAGTACCAGTATTTTTTATTTAAGAGCTCATAGGTTCCAATTAAAAAGAAAAAAAAGAGCCCATAGGTGATTCTAATGTGCAGCCAGGGTTGAGAACCACTGTTTCACATTGTTCCTGGAAAAAGTTCACTGACCAGTTGTGCATAAATGAGATCACAGGTAGATTGTTTAAGGTTCATCTGCTAGACTCTACTGAAAAATCACCTTCAGAGTAGCTTTACTACATGCATGGCCAAACTGTTTGAATACCATCATAGGTTGGAAGATGGGGAACTCGCTGCTCAGTCGTTGGACAGCTCTGACAGTAAGAAAGCATTGTCCAGCTCAGCTGCCATGCCCCAGCAGTTCTGGACAGATGAGATTATGGGGCAAGTGGGCTGAGACGTGCCTCCCCAGAGTTTCATAGTTGAAAGACTTGTGCAGTCCCCATCAGTACATTCCCAAAGCCCAGGTCCGATGTGTTCCTAGGATGTGCTTCATTTGCTCCTTCAGCTCACTTGTGCACTGTGTAGTGTGATAGGCCCTCTACACAGATAACTGTGAAGCTCCCTTCAGTGTGGAGGAGAGCTCTTTGGCAGCTTGTGAGACTTGAAGAACTGGCCCGTGATTTGAGCAGACCCCTCATGAAGCACTATCTCTGTAGAAAGAGATAAACAGCTTTCTGCTGCTTATGATCTAGTGAAAAGTTACAGAATTGTTCTTTTTTAAAATATGTATGTATGTACTTAATTTTGGCTATGCTGGGTCTTTGTTGCTGTGGGCAGGCTTTCTCTAGTTGCAGCAAGCAGGGGCTACTTTCTGGTTGTGGTACATGGGTTTCTCATTGTGATGGCTTCTCTTGTTGCAGAGCACGGGCTTCATTAGTTGTGGCGCACAGGTTTAGTTTGAGCCACAATCTGTGGTATCTTCCTGGACCAAGGATTGCACCCATGTCCCCTGCACAGGCAGGCGGATTCTTAACCACTGGACCACCAGCGTGGTTCCAGAATTATTCTTAATACTTGATAGTTGATGATGGATGGTGGGCCATGATATGACTCAGAGCCAGAAGAAGCAGGGAGTGCCTGCAAAGGCTCTTCACATCAGGATTAATATTTTAACTTATCCATGTACTTCATAGAGGCACCTTATTTCTATCACTCATTCACCATAAATTCGGGAAAGATTTATCACACACTGGCTTGTACTAGGGGGAGGGTAGAGAGATTTTGACAGGATTGTCCTCCCCACAAGGAGCAGTTTCTTATGAAGGATGGTGTCATCTTTTCCTCCTGTTTTGGGGTTCACAGCAGATGTCACCAGCGATTTTGTTAAAAGCTCATGGCTCTTCTGGCTCTTTTTCTCATGTCTGTCACCTCTTAGGTCTTATATCCAGATGGCCAGGCTCAGATGATCCACCCTAAGCCGGCAGACTTTCGGAATCCTGGCCCAGGGCGGCACCGGCTCATCACTCAGGTGTTCCTCTCCCACACTGCCTGGACAGGTAAGAAGTCCGTGGGGGGCAAGGCATTTGTTTTTTATAGTTTGAAAAATACGTGATTGAACCAGGCCTGCTGAGGGTTGAACTTGATTTCCTAAGGCGCTTACAAGCTCAAATTGGGCATATTTAGACTAATTTGCTGCATTGCTTTGATTATACACAGCACAAAGTTTTTTCAAAAGATTACGATAGAATGGAGTCTCATGGAAAGAACTGTGGGCTAGACATCTGGAGACTGTTTTCTTATCGTAACTTTGTAATTGACCTGCTGCAAAACCTTGGACAGGCTATTCTCCCTTCTGAATCTTGTCTCCTCACCTTCTAAATTAAGATGACAACTCTTAATCTACTACTTAATTCTGAGGACTAGTCTTTCTGGAAATTAAACAGTTTTATAGTTTTTTTTTACCAGTAATTTAAAATCACTCTTTTTGTTATATGAACAGTTCATTTCATTCCCCCAGTGACAACTGTTACTGCCTTCCCTTCCCACATGGGCTGGTTTGTGGGGTAGTGCAAAGATGATCTATTCATACTTCACCCTACAGCATCTGAGTAGAAACTTGTTAATTTGAGAAAATAACATGGAAGCTACATGTTAATAAGTATTTTTCTTTAATTTGTAAAGGATAAAATGAGAGAATACAAATGCAATGACACTCCATTTCCACAGTCTGTAAGGTGCTTTGGAAACTTTAGAAAGAGACTCAGTCTGCAGAACCTAAAATGTGGGAAAGAATTGGTCTCGGTGGTGTTGCCTAAATTGTTGAAGATGATTCACAAGTATGGTTGTTACTGGAGATGGTGTTCAATACCAGCAAATTTGGTTTATTTTAGAAATAGATGAATGCCTTCTAGAATTTTCTTTCACTGTATTTTTGAATACATGCATAATTGTTTATTGCCATTATTAGTGGTTCCCCCAATTAAGGGTGTTAGGTGACTTTATAAAGTTTTCACAAAGAGGAAACGATGCTATTGAATGTTGGAGCAGCCCTTTTGGAGGTCCAGTGGGCCTGTCACAATTGAGAGAGCTTCCAGCCAGGAAGCTTTTCCCAAGATATGCCTCCCTGAATGTCCCTCACTCCATATCCTTGCTGTTGGAATGTTCTGCACTGTTTGCCACAGTGCAAGTCTACAGGAAGTTAGAGTTCCTTATTCTAATCTCTTTTGGTGAAGGGATCCTAGATATGGGGAAAGAAATGCTGTGGGACAGCACTGTTTTGCAGGGACCAAGGCTGAGGGAGGCAAGACAGCATATTACAGCTCAGAAGAGCTTGAAAGGTTTAAGGGGTGTATTGCCTTGTCCCTGGTCATGCAGCAGCTCACTGCATGAACCAGGCATACAATTTGGGCTGTCTGAGCCTGAAAAATTATAATTCACTCAGGGTTACCTCCTTTGAGAGGCTGCTACCTAGTCATAATTAAAAATCTGTTTTAATTCTCTGCTCAGCACTTACTCATGTCAGATGTTTCCTCATGCATTTATTGGCTTTATCTCCAATTAGAATGTGGGCTGCTTGAGAACAGGAAACTTGCTCATCACCTTTACCTTTGTGTTCCCAGTACCTCTATATCTTATGTCCCTAGTCCCTGACATATAGTAGATGCTCAACAAATAATGAAAACGGAATGTAGGGTTTTAAGTTTGCATTAAAAATTCATTTAATTCTTAGATAACTCTGTGGTGGGAGTTAGTATTTTGCTCTTAATTTTTTAGATGCATAAGTGGAGGCCCACGTAGCCAATTAATGGTGGCTTGGAGGCCTGCATGCAGATTTCCTAAGTGCCTTGTTTTTTCACTATACCATCCTCCCATCTGGCCTTGGATACTAAAGTGAAATGTGTTCTCATTCTGAATGTGCCAGCACTTTCTTCTTCCTAACCCAGGAGATGAGGCCTGGTGTTGGGAAGGGGCTCCTCCATCTAGTCCCTCAGCTCCCTACCTAGGGCCTGTCTTTTGGGAGACAGGATGCTGCCAGGCCTGGAGTCACATAGACAAGTTTCCAAATTCTGCCTCACTTGCTGTGATCCTGAGAAAGTTATTTAACCTGTCTGTCTCATTTTCCTTTAAGACTGTGGAGTGGTAATATATATCTCATAAAGACACTCTCTTCCAAGCATGATAAACAGGTTGCATGATTGGCCCCAGACGATCTTTTGTTTGTTTTTCCCACTGTCTTCCCCCTCTTGTTTTTTCTCTCTGCTCCCTTCCTCTAATGGCAGTGGCTTGAATTGCCACTCTTCACATGTGCTGGTGAGGGAAGGCTTAATGACCAGGTAGGGTTCAGTCGTCTGACCTTACCAGGGTTTGGCTCCTGAAAGTGCTGTGAGAGCCAGGGCTGGGTTGTGGTTCAAGGGTTGGCAGTAGCCATCTAGGACAAAAGAGCAGAGCCTGTTGGGAGAGCTGACACTGGAGCCTCGGACCAGAGAGCAGTGCTGGTTTCATTACAGGGACATGAAGGCTAGTGAAAGGGCCCGTGGTAAATGGTCCTGCTGAAGTTGCTGTCTGGGCTTGGCTGGGTTGCTCTGGCTGGCTGCCAGCCCTCCCTTCCTGGAAGACAGTGATCTTGTCTCTATTTTGATTCCTAGGGATAAGTCTGGAAATAACAGGGAACATGTCTGGGGAGGCATTGAGAAGTCCTGGGACCTGTGCCCTTGTTCATTTTCTGTTCTATCAGCCCTCGTTGCTGCCCTTTAAACCCCTTACCCTTGGGCTCATCTTTGAAACTTGCACCTTTCATGAAGTAAGGAGGTTACCCAGTCACACAAGGTCAAGGAGGACACCCAAGCTAGCGGTGTTCTTGTCCTCTGCACCTGCCGTTAGGTCTTGCTGAAATCCTCTCCCTCTTCTTTATTGAAGCCACATGGTTAATAGAAAGATTAGTGTTTCAGTTTATGAACTGAGCTCAAAATCTGTCACTAGTGTGGATTTGGGCAGTCACTTAGAACCTCTCAGAACCTTGGGACTTTTTTTAGGATCGTGACGATCTTTCTTCCATAGTGTGGCAGGGTAAGATCTCTTGGGAGTTATGTGCTTGGCACAGAGTAGGTGTTCCATTCCAAAGCCTTCCTGGGCTCCTTCCTCAGTACTTTTTACAGACTCGTGTGTGCACTGTGCTCTTTGCAACTGTCTCTGCCTCCTCAGACAAACAGCAACTTAAGGGCGGTCTTATTTATTTTTGCTGGGCCTTCCAGGTGCAGGCACCAGATCATTGTTATAATGTCATGTCATGAAAGAATGGAGGGTTCAGTGACATGATTTTAGGTCCCTGAAATGTGTTCCTCTTCAGTAATGAGTGTTTTCTGTCCGAACTATTTCCAGATGAATGGCTTATTCTCCGCTAATGCATCAGAGTGCACTCTGCACGCAGCCCTCAGGTCTGAGATCAGCTGCCGAGAAAGAGCGTGGTTATCTGGGCACAAGAACTGGCCACATGCACATACCTTGTGATCCTCTGTCCTTGAGGCTGGAAGGCCTCTATGCAAGAGGGTTTTTCACTTGCTCTCTGAGTATCTCAGCAGCCATGGCTCTGAGCTGCAGGGAGCCCAACAGACCCGAGGAGGAGGTGGCGGTGGCAGAGATGCAGCAGCACATCTGTAGCTTAGGAAGAGCCTCATGGAAAATTGTTTTTGTTTTGCAGATGGGGGAAGGGAGGGATGCAGACAGGTGAAAAATGTTCTTGAAACGCTGCTGCAAAAAAAAAAAAAAGAAAGAAACCCTGCTGCCTCCATCTTTGATCTTGCTCTTACTTGACATTTCATCCCAATTCCTGGTAGTTGCCCCATCATTGAGGATTTTTGTCTTTTTTTCTAGAACCCTGCCAGGTGGAAGTGAGGCTGCTGCTGGCCTACAACTCCAGTTCACGCATTCCAAAATCCCCCTGGATTGAAGGTGGTGAGATGTCACCCCAGGTGGAAACCAGCATCGAGGGCACCATCCCCTTCAGCAAGTCTGTAAAAGTTTACATAATGCCCAAACCCGCAAGACGCTGAATCACAAGCAGTCTTTATAGCCGTGGCCTAGAAGGCCCTTCTTGGGATCAGAGTGAGCCAGAAGCCTGGAGCATTTCACCTGGAAATGGTATATAGGCATAAGGAGGAACATGTGACCCATGCAGTCTCATCTGTATCAAGCATTGGATAAATTATTTTGCATTAATTAAGAACACAGAAACCTTCAAGGCTATCCTGCCCTCCACCCCCAACCTCCATAGCCCTGCCCCCAATAAAGTTGAGACACCAAGCTGCTCTAGTCCCTGGTCCTTCAGGGAATCTGTGTGGCTATAGGTTCAACATTTATACTACATGTCTGCATTCTTCAGGTGTGAAACAAAAAGATCCAATTTTCTAGCCACTTCCAAAGAACCAGTTATTGGAGCCATAATCTTATTTCTTAAAGCAACAGTCTGTTTGTCAGAGCCAACTCCAAAGCAGCTTTTACAGCTTTGTTTTTTCACCATCGACAGTTCCTGAATGGCCCCAGACTTCATTATCTTGCTGAGAGTCTCCTTCCTTAACTCAGGCAATGGCTGGCCAAGAACTGAATGGACATTCATTCTTCAGGAAAATTTTTGATCTTGCCTGCCATTAAAATATGAGAGATGGGCCGTATTTTAGAAAAGAAACCAGCATTATAGGAAAGAGGGATCTAGTGTAAGAAGCACAGTCATTTTCCAGTACTTCTCTGACGACTCCAGTGTTGGAGCTGCATGTGAGTTAAAGATGCAGCTGGGGTGTAAGAACAGTAAAGGCTATGAACCATGTGAGGGCCTGTGATGTGTTCTTTACCTGTCATTTAATCCTTGTAACAGCCAAGTGAGTCTGACAGGTTAAGTCATTGGTAGGAATACTGTAATAACACCTGTATTCATTCAAATCCAAAATGAGTCCAAAGGTCTGAGCTATATATACCACATCAGGAGAGGTATATGGAAAAGAACCTACAAATCTCTCTTGTGCCTTAATTTTCTTACCTGTAAAATAGAGATAATTATACTTTATGGGTTGTTGAATGGGTTTAATTAAATAATGCATGGCAGAATCTTAATCTCTGGCCAGTCTCGATCATATTTGGTGCTTGGAAAGCTAATAAAAATAACAAGAGCATACAGTTACTGAGAGTCAGAGCTGGAATTTGAATTCAAAGCACGTTTGACTTTTAGTTTAACACACCTAATGTGTGCCCAGCAGTGTTGCAAACCCTTTAATGAATTAATTCATTTAATCCTCAAAACTACAGTATGAAGTAGGTGCTGTTATAATAAACCTAATAGTAGGTGCTATTATTATTAAAGCAGTTGAAGTTCAGATAATTTAAAGAAGCCAGGATTATGGGAAAGAGAGATCCACTCTAAGAAACAGCACTTTCAGCTCCGTCTCTGACGGCTACAGTGTTGGAGCTGCCTCATTGGCCTAGGCTGCAGAGCTGGTAAATGACAGAGCTGGAATTAGAACCTGGGTGGTCTGGCTCCCGGAGGTCATAACTGCTATGGAGAGACTAAAAGAAGATCACCTCAATGGCATTTACTTTTCTTGTGTGCTCACTTACTTAGTACATCTCAGTGATGTGCCATCAGTGTCAACAGGAAGTCCTAAAGAAAATTGCCTGCCTTGGAGATAAAGTAAAGCTTAAAGCCAGGCTGAGTCATACCATGGCCCCGACACAAGCACCTAATGATGATTACTGAGTTGAAGCACGAATGAAAACATCAAGAACCGTTGCTGCTAACTGAGCCTTCCATGCCATAGCTATAGAAAGCCTTCCAAGGGAAAAATATGCTGAATCCTTTTCAGGTACACTGTTCCTTTTGTAAAAATCTTTTTCAGTTATTCCCCATTTTATAGGTGGGGAAACTGAGAGTTTGAGTCATGTCTTTCTCCTAAGGGGCAAGGGCAGAATTTGATCCTAGGTCTTAAGACCCGAAATAGTACTTTTCACATCAAAGGTGAAGAGACACAAAGGGGCAAATTTTGAATTAGTAGCAGCTAGGATGAGTTTTTAAAAACTGTAAGAATTGAATGGGTTATCTTAGAAGATCAAGAATTTTCAATGCTGAATGTGTTCAGTCTGAGGTTGAACAAGCTCCTGACAAGTGTGTCCTAAAGGAATTCAAGTTATCACATGAGGGGTAGAGCTCAGCCTTTTAAATTCTTCTTTCTCTGAATTCTCTGTGAATTATGAGAATCTTGATCTTTCTGATGGGAAAAGGGCATAAAGGGGGCAGAAAGATGGCTCTAGTGTGGCATCCTCATTTATAAGTGACTGTGCAACCAGAGAGACTGAGTTAGTAGAAGCAAGTCTGGAAATCAGGCCTCTACAGGGGTATGTTCTGCATTTTCAGTGGCCAACTGTGTACCTGGTCAAAGCTGGAAACTGTGTCACACTGGACTCTATCCTTACACTTCATATAAAACTAGCCATCACGTCCTTGAGATTCTGCTGCTTTAAATGTTTCAGTCCTCTTTACTCAATATGTCTGTCTTGATGCAGCCTACATCATCACTCTAGAAGTGTGAGATCAGTTTCCTAACGAACTGCTTGCCTCAAATCTTTTCCCCTTCAGCCCACTCTTCACACAGGTGCCAGAGTAATCTTTCCAAAATCCAGATCTGATCACATTCATTCACCTGCTTGAACCTCAAGTGGGTCACTTCTTGGCTCCAGGATAAAGTCTAATCAGTCCTTGAAGAATCTTCATCCCCTGCTCTCCTCTTCAGCCTCATACTCCGTGTCCCCAACCTTCTCTGTAGTTCTCCCGCTGTAGAGTATTATCTGTAGTTATTCCTGATTGTCGCCACGCAGTCTCTTGCCTCACACCTGGACCTTGGAATGTGCTCTTCAGATTGTCTCCTGTGGTTCCTTTCTTTTCATTCTTCAGGAGTGAGCCTCATTCTGGAACCTGTCTGTGTCTCCTGTGAGCTTGATGCATCGCCTTTATGTTCCCACAGCCTTCTATCCATTCTTCAACCATTGTATTTATTGCAGGTTCACAAATGCCAACCCCTGAAGCAGGTAGGCAGGGGGGTAAAAAAGGTAAGTGGCTTTGTAAAGCTAATAAATGCCTCCTCTTTTTCGAAGTTATGAAAAAGAATAATACAGTTTTAAACAAGGAGTGGGTCAGTGGCTGTAGGAAAATGATAGACTGAAGAATCAGCAGATTCTCTGTCTGATGAAGGCTGTTCAGCTCCACTCAGCTGTTCAGTTGTTCATAGGTATGGGCCTGGTCAGATTTTCTAATTCCTCCAGAAAAGCCAGTAACCTGCATTTTCACGTTAAAAAAAATATATCCATGTAAATAATTGTGGTAAGTCAAGTAAATGTTCAGATTACTCTGAGACCAACAAAACCTGTCTCCAGGTAGATTTGTGACAGTGTGCAGCTTCTGCATCACCACTCTGTTTATATGTCTGTTTCTCCCAACCAGTCTGAATAGCTGGGCAGTAAGAATGTCTGTGTTGTATCCCCAGCGTAGCGCCTGGCACATACCAAGCAAGGAAAGAATGAATGAGTCCATGAGTCCAGAGCGAGGTTGACAGTACCATGACATGCCTGCAAAAGCCAGCCCTGAGAGTCGGACTTGTGAAAGGACTGTATGTTTGTCTTTGACGTAATTGACCTCAGCAAACAGAATTGAGGAGAAGGTACACACCTAACACATGACAAGACTTTTCTCAGGAACCTCTCAAGCTAGGAGAAATTAAGTGTGGGCAGAGCGAGGGCTGTGCACGCAACTTACAGATTGAATCAAAGGGTGTGTGACTAAGACATGGGACTCAGTATAGTGTCATGGAAAAAGAGCTTCTCTCCCAGTTCTTTGAATTTCCAGCACTGACCATGCAGAAGAGATTCAGAAGTAGGGGCTATTGCAGGTTTGATACAAAGTTTAATAACTTCACTGCCAGGTACTTCTGTCTCTTAAGAAGTTTGTACTAAGTTATGTTTAATGTAGAGACAACTCACTTAGGAACACCTAATTACACCCACACCTAATTCAGCACCTACTGGAGCTGTCTTATCTTACATTTGACAGAAAAAAAAATTCTTTTATCTCATCACCCAGAAAAATAGTCTGAATTTTTATCAGACATAAAAATTTCTTGTTATATGTATCTGGCTTTCCGAGCTGAGGGAACTGTGATCTAGAAAGACCCTGTCATCTGACACACGGTTGGTTGTGGAAAGGGCACTGAGCATGACCTTCTCAGACTCTTGGCTGGGTGTTAGGTCTGTGAGAATCTATCTCCTACAGGTCTTCTAAGGTGGTAGAAAGAGATCAAGACACAGGGTTGGGTTCTAATCCTGCCTTTGCCACTTTCTTGCTGGGTAAACTTGGAAAGATTACTTTCCATGGCAATCATCTCAGCTCATGTTTTCTTGCCGAGCCACATCTTAAGTTGATTGGCTGTCCTTAGGTCAGATGCCCAGTGTGGCCAGTCAGGTGACAGGATCATGTGGAGCAAAAATCAACTTTCCGGGCCGTGGCTTCAACAAGGGTGGGGGTGGAGCAATTTTTTTCAGCTATGGCCATGATCGATAGCATACCTAGTTAATGTCTGTTGAAAAGTTCCCAAATATTTGGTGAATAAATGAACCACTTGTTCTTTAAGACCTGTGTTACATTCTTAGTGATGTCTCCCCTAATCTTCCTCCTATCTTGGTAGGGTAAGTTAGTCTCCCTTTGTGCCACCACTGGATGTTATAACTATTATAATGTTAACACACTGTATCATTGTCTTGTTTATTTCTCTCTCAGGTAACTCCTGAGGGCAGGAACTATGACTTACTCATTCCTATACCCCTATGATCCAGCAGTAATTTGTCATAAGAATATTAGTTAAAGACTTTGAGTAAATGAGTATGAAAGAGAATTACTGAATAAATGAGTGAGTGAAAAGAGTAGATAATTCCTTTGGGCACCAACATCCTAGGAATCTATGAAATAATAAGCTGCTATATTAAGAACCATAAGATAAAACCAGTGAGCTTTACACAGCAGCCCCCTTAGGAGAAAGATAACGACAATGGTTTCAATTTATTGAGTCCTTAGTACATGCCAGGCAGAGTGCTAAGACTTTCTGTGAATTACCCCACTTAACACCTGTGATATCTTCAGGTACTAATATTATCCCTATCTGACATGAGAACAGTGAAACACTGAGAAATTAAATAAATGCCCAACCAATGAGTGGCATTGGAAGCCACAGGTCAAAGTCAAGGCTATTGGACATCAAAGCCAATACTCGTAACTTTTATTTTCAGCGGGGAAAAATGAAAAATAAGGCAATGCTGATAACTGTTATTAATTCTATTAGTCTATCATAAGGTTTTGGAAAGGTCACTTGGTATTTAATAGAACCAAGGCTATCCATGCCAGTAGGGGCCATCAGAAGGCATGTAGTCCAGCTCCATCATTTTATAGTGAGGGAATCTGAGGCCGAGAGAACTGGCAAGACTCAGGTTTAGTTAGTGGAACAGCCTGTCTAGAACCTGAGTATCAAGGCATAGGTCCTTTCACTGTTACTGAAGTGTTGCTTCAGAGCTCTGCTCATGTTATTGCACAAAGAAATTTTCCCTTTCCACATATCTGAAGTAGCCCCATCACTCTTTTTCTTATCTTGCTTTATTTTTCTTAAAACAGATTCTATTTACAATATGTATTTGCTCGCTTATTTATTTGGCACACTAGAATAGAAATTTGATGAACGTAAGACTTTTATTGCTGTTTCTTTGGAACCTGTAGCATTGCCTGGTATACAAAGTACTTAATAAAATTGGTTGATGACTAAACATTCCAAAGTAACAATTAAAATATGATTTTGATGTACTGAAACTTTGGCTTTCAAACTTCAAATCAGAAGGCTTTCTTCATTTTTGGCTTTATTTTCATATATGCCTTTTTTTCATTTACTTCTGGCCTAACATTTACCACAGTATTATTATTATTATTTTTTTTTTTTGGTACAATTTGAGGAAACTTTATTATTTTTTTTTTTCATTTATTTTTATTAGTTGGAGGCTAATTACTTTACATCATTGCAGTGGGTTTTGTCATACATTGAAATGAATTAGCCATGGATTTACATGTATTCCCCATCCCGGTCCCCGCTCCCACCTCCCTCTCCACCCGATCCTTCTGGGTCTTCCCAGTGCACCAGGCCCGAGCACTTGTCTCATGCACCCAACCTGGGCTGGTGATCTGTTTCACCTTAGATAATATACGTGTTTCGATGCTGTTACCACAGTATTAAAGTTTGGTAAACATCTATCTCCTCTGTCCCCACCTCCCCGCCCCCTAGGACAGGGGCCTTGCCTGAGTCATCCGTGCATTGCAGAGCCTAGCCCAGGACCTGGTACAGGCAGCTGTTCTAAAGTGCTGGGGAGGCTGGAGTGGAGAGTGGTAAGAGTGACAGTCACAGGCATCATTGTTTAGTGATTTATTCTCTTAAGGCTCCATCAGCAGGTGGAATGGAAGACCCCTCCCACCCTGATGCCTTGGGTAGCCAAGGCATTATACTCCTTCACTGCCTGCTCTGTCTGGAGGACCCGCACATCAATGCCTTTTTTCTTGAGGTACTCCACGGTTGATGGGGGTACCTGGGAAGAAGGAAAAAGATGAGTAAATCAGGGTGAAAGGCCCCCAGGGTTTCCTTTCCTGCTGTGAGGCAAATATATTCCACAGAATTGGACACTGACAACTGACACTCCCCAATCACCCAGCATGTCACCAGTCCAAAATTTGGCAGTGAGCCCAAGGAGTCAAAGTGTCTTCTAAGAGGTTGACAGAAGTATCCTGCAATATGTGCACACAGCTCAGGTGAAATGGAAACTGGAAAGAGCACGGATTTTGGAGCCAGACAGTTTTCAATTTAAGTCTTTACTAGCAGTATGACTTCGGGTAAGTGAATTAAATATTCTGAGCCTTTTTTTCCATGTATGTAAATAGAGGTAATACCACCTAATTTACAGGGTTGGTATGAGAACAAATTCAGCTAAACTATGTAAAATGTCTAGCACGTAAATGTTAAATGTTTGAGTCAATCCAACCTAAGTCTAAATTCTAACTTTGCCATGCAATAACCAAGAGACCTTTTGAAAGCCTGTCATTGCAATTTCCTCCCCTATAAAATGGGGATAATAATACTTAAAACCACAAGGTTGGTGTGAGGATGAAGTTTTATGAATGTACATATACTGCAGCTCAAATGTGCTCTCAGGCCTTTCTTGATCACCTCATTTAGAACAGCCCTCAGAAGTCACCGTTTTCTTCACAGCATTTACTATGATCTGAAATTGTCTACATCTTAATTATTCATGAGGCCACGAACCTTTTTTACCTTGTTGTCCCCAGAATCTCAAACAGTGTCTGACCCACAGAAGGTGCTGAATAAATATTTGTAAATGAATTTATATAAAAGATTCTCAATAGTGTCAGCTGTTATTAGATATTTTCTCAACTCTGACTTGTCCTGAATATTATTTTAAATAGATTTTAATTCAACTCTGTTAGAAGAAACTCTCAGCGAAATGTTTTAAAAATGTCCTATATTACTTTTTCATGTATTTGAACAGTTTTATATTAACAGTAGCCTTATGGATAGGAGTCATTTTAATGGAGGGGGGGAAAAACTAGATTAAAAAATAGGCACCTTCATCAGTAAGGAACTTGATTTTAGGACATGTCTATAAGGGACAGAATGAAGTAGATCTCTATAAACTTACGTGAAAGGCTGTCCATAATGCAATAACAAATGAATAAAAAGTTGCAGAACAGTATGTATAGTGTGATCCTGTTTATGTAAAAGCATTGATGTCATTACGCATAAGTGAGTATATATTAGTAGATGTGTAGAGAGAATTGGCAGAGTTACATATACATCACATGTGACTAGAAAGGGGGATCTTTCACCTTTTTAATACTACATTTCTGTGTTGACTCTTTTTCAACAAGCATGTATTATTTCTGTAAGTACAATAAAAACAAACTTTTTTCTGAAAAGGGGAAAAAAAACTTAACTTGAATGTGCCCAAGAAAAGAAAAATTTTAAGTACTGTAAATAATGGAAGATACTATAAAACTCTGAAGAGTCAAATATTGATAGCTATAGAGTTTAAGAAATTTCCAAGATTGAGGAATTTCTGGAAAATGGTTGAAAACGACACCAGCCTTTGGATACGTAGAGACTGGAGAGACCAACCCTGATGAGGAAGAGTAGGCTCAGCCACTCCTTCATCCTGGGCCATCCACTGGCTCAGCAAAATGGGGATGCATGATACATAGATTGAACTTCCAAGAGAAAGGACGTTATCTCTATAGTAAAGATCCGAGAGATTACTGAAAGTCCTCAGGAATGCTGCGCTCCCCAATACCAACCTTTAAGGCCTCACTCATCCCTCGGCCAATCACAAGGATCTGCACACCCTTCTCCACAACTTCCTCCACGTCTGCAGGTTGCACACCAGGAGAATGCTAGATGTGGAAAGAGAATGTTCATCAGCTGCCAGCTTTTCAAATCTTTCTTTGCAGTCAGCATTCTTGTGAAATTCATTCATTCACTGAAGAAATGTTTACTGATGTTTACTCTATGCAGAGTATCACCTGGGCCCTGGGAATAACAGAAGCTGCCCTATGGAGCTCTAAGTCTAGTGAAAAAATGTGGAAAACTACAAAGAAATTTCACTAGTTTTACAAGTGCTACCAAGAAGTAAGTTCAGGATATTGTGAGAACATAGAGAAAGGGAACCTAATTCAGACTTGGAGAGTCAGGCCAGGGGGTCAGGGAAGACACCCCAGAGGAGGTGACATTTAAGTTGAGATGGGCTTTCCTGATAGCGCAGTTGGTAAAGAATCCATCTGCAATGCAGGAGACCCCGGTTTGATTCCTGGGTTGGGAAGAGCCGCTGGGGAAGGGATAGGCTGCCCACTCCAGTATTCTTGGGCTTCTCTTGGGACTCAGCTGGTAAAGAATCCGCCTGCAATGCAGGAGACCTGGGTTCGATCCCTGGGTTGGGAACATCCCCTGGAGAAGGGAAAGGCTACCCACTCCAGTATCCTGGCCTGGAAAACTCCATGGACTGTATAGTCCATGGGGTCGCAAAGAGTCAGACATAACTGAGCAACTTTCACTTAAAGGAAAAACAGGAATTAGCCAGGTTAAAGGAAATCAGGGGAACAAGGCATACCAAACACAGGGAACAGCATGAACTAAAAGGCTCAGGGGAAAGAGCAACCTAGTGAACTACAAGTAGTTCCGTTTGACTGGAGTGTGAGTGACAGGTGAATGGAAAGAGAGGAAGTGGGAGAAGAAAGCACGTGAAAGTTGGAAAGCGCCATTCTGTTTCCCTGTGCTGAGCTGCTTTCCTGCTTAACTTCAGGAAAACTTGGACTGATGCTTTAAAACCCACCAATACTTGTCACTCTGTAAAGTCTTCCCAGATTCTCCCAGGGGTATTTAAAGTAAGGTTTTTTAATGAACATTAAGCTAACATTAGAGGATGGTGGCTTCTGAACTGCTCCCACATCAGCCAGGGGGATACAGGAGTTAAGAGTTTGGTAAATACCAGCCCACTACAGGGGAGTGAATAAATATGAGTGGGAAACTGTCACGGAAGACTTGCTGTTTCAACTGCATCTTGAAGTATGAGTCGGAATATGCCTTGATGCGGTGGCTGTGGAAGGGGTACATTCTAATCATAAGTTAGAGGTAGTTTAGAAAAGAGCTGCTAAAATACCAAGAGGACAACAGATTTGCCAAAGACAGAAGAGTTTTTCAGTCTAGAAAGCTTTAGAGGAGATAGGATTGAAATTTATAAAGGTATAAGAAGAACAAATAAGTATTTTTTAAATTAAATCTTGAAATATCTTACATATTTATAGTTGCAGTTTTCATAAAACACCTATAGAAATTATTCCATGTGCTCTGCGTAATAGCACAAAAGCATCTTATTCTCTTTGTATAGTTGATAAACTAAAGATCACAAAATATATACAAGATGACACAAATCACTAAGTACTAGAGTTGGGACTAGAACAGAAACAAGTTAACCTTCTAGTTTAAGGCACTTTATTAGAATACTATAAACTAAGGAGCAACTTTGTTGAAACTTGAAAGAACTAATCCTAATGACCACATGTTGTGGGGGAAGGATCAGTAGGATGAAATGGGAGATTGGGATTGGCATATATACACTACTATGTATAAATCAGATAACTAATGAGAACCTTCTGTGTAGCACAAGGAACTACTACGCCCTCTGTGGTGACCTAATAGGGAAGGAAATCTAAAGAAGAGTGGATTTATATTTATGAATGACTGATTCACTTTGCTGCACAGTGAGAAACTTAACACTGTAAAGCAGCTGTGTTTTTGTTGTTTACTCACCAAGTTGTCTCTGACTGTTTTGCGACCCCATGGACTGTAGCCTACCAGACTCCTCTGTCCATGGAATTTCCCAGGCAAGATATTGGAGAGGGTTACCGTTTACTTCTCCAGGAGATCTTCCCAACCCAGGGACTGAACCCATGTCTCTTGCATTGGCAGGTGAATTTTTTACCACTGAGCCACCAGGGAAGCCCAAAGCAACTATACTCCCATAAAAATTAATTTAAAAAGGAAGATGGGGTACACATATATTCAATGGAATATTACTCAGCCATAAAAGAATGAAGTAACTTCATGTATGACAATATGGATGGACCTAAATGGTGATATCCTTAGAGAAATAATCAGAGACCAGTACTATATTATTTTACTGATGTGTAATCTAAAAACATGAACAAACAAAACAGAAATAGACTCAGAGAATAAACAGAGTTGTCAGAGGGGAGGTGGTGGGGGAGATGAGTGAAGTAAGTGAGGGGGATTATGAGGTACAAACTTACAGGGACTACCCTCGTGGTCCAGTGGCTAAGACTCTGCACTCCCAACACGGGGCCTGAGTTCCATCCGTGGTCAGGGAACTAGATCCCACATGCCATAACTAAGACCTGGCAGTCAAATGAATAAAATAGTTTTTAAAAAATAACTAGAAGGGAACTGTCCTTTGGTAAAGGACATTTAAGAAAAGCCTACAGCTGAACATTAACGTTGAAATATTAAACATTTTCCCTAAAAGAGTGGACAGAATAATTTACTTCCTTATTATCTCATTTTTTTAGTTTTCTTTTTGGCAATACTGCACAGCCTATGGGATCTTAATTCCCTGACCAAGGACTGAACCCGAGCCCTCTGCAATCAGAAGTCGGATTCTTAGCCAGTGGACCAGGGAATTCCCCTTATTATCTCTTGGACCTGTCCATTTCTCTCCATCTCTGCTGCCACTACCCTGGTCTAAGCTGCCATTCCTTCTTTTTTTTTTTTTTTGTCATTACTTCTTATTTAGCCTATTGCAGCAACTTTCTAACTGGTGTCCATAAAACCACTTTGGCCCTTTCCAATTATCCATTCTTCAAGTTGCTCTAGAGGAATTGTAGGGCAAACTGTAGCTAGAGGAATCTTTGCAAAACACAAAACCATTCATATGTCTCCTCTGCTTAATAGCATTCAGTGGCTTCTCCTTGCTCTTAGAATAATTGCCAAACTCCTTAACGTGGTCCATCTGTAAGTTCTCAGCTGTCTCACCAGTCTGACTGCATATGACTTTCTTCATGTTCTAGCAGGGAAACAGTCTGGCATCTTCTTAAATATGTGCTTATGTGATTCAGCAATCACATACCTGGGTATTCTAGAGAAATGAAAAGTAACATTTACACAAAAATCTGTACATGAACTTTCACAGCAGCTTTCTATGGGTGGGGGGCATTGTTAACTCTTATTTCCTAGTTAGAAGCAAGATATCCTACTCTAGATTTTTTTCTAGTTTTACTGAGATATAGCTGATAAATAGTACTGTATAAGTCAAGGTGTATAGCATATGATTTGACTTACATAACATGACATGATTACCATAATAAGTTTAGTTAACATCCATCATCTCATATAGAGACAAAAAATAATTTTTTCTTTTGTGATGAGAACTCTTAGAATTTAGTCTTAACTTTCACATATATCATAGAGCACTGTTAACTACAGTCATCTATAGAAGCTTTATTTGTACTACTCCCAAACTGGAAGCAACCCAAATGTTCACGAACAGATTCTGTTATAATCCAAGAATGGATTACTACTGAACAATAGAAAAGGAACAAACTATCGATACCTATGGGCTTCCCTGGTGGCTCAGATGGTAAAGAATCCGCCTGCAATGCAGGAGACCTGCATTCCATCCCTGGGTTGGGAAGATCCCCTGGAGGAGGGCATAGCAACTCATACCAGTATTCTTGCCTGGAGAATCCCCATAGACAGAGGAGCCTGTTGGGCTTGGAGTCGCAAAGAGCCATATATGGAGTCCATGGAGTTGCAAAGAGTCAAAAATGACTGAGCGGCACAGCACGTAAAAAGTACTATGCTGAGTGAAAAATGCAAGTCCCGAAAGACTATATACTGTATGATTCTATTAGTATGACAAATGTAACACGTGTATTAGGTAAACTGGCAAAATATTAATAAGGCCTGTATATTAGATAATAGTACTGTATCAATGTTAATTTCCTGATTTTCATCACTGTGTTGTGAGAAGGTCCTTGTTTTTCTTAATGTCCTTTACCTAAGGACAGTTCCCTTCGAATTTAGTTAAATACCTGTGTGTATTTACCCCTAAATATAATATCTACAACAGTTCAGAAAAAAGTGTCTATTGAAGAAGAGGATGATAAAATATGATAAACTCTTGGAAAAGGAAATGGCAACCCACTCCAATATTCTTGCCTGGGAAATCCTATGGACAGAGGAGCATGGCCGGCTACAGTCCATGGGGTTGCAAGAGCTGGACACACTTAGCGACTCAACCACCACCATCATCTGATTCCATAACTGGATATCAGATTAAAATAAAGGTTTATATCTATAAAAAATATGATAAACTGTTAAAATTTGGATCTGGGTAAAATGAGATTTTTTTTTTTTTCTGCCTGTACCACACGGCATGTGGAACTTCTCTGACTGGGGGACCTGGTATTGAACTTGTGCCCCCTGGAGTGGAAGCATGGAGTCTTAACCATTGGACCACTGGAAGAGTCCAAGAATTCTTTCTAATATTCCTGTAACTTTTTGTAAGTCTGAAATTATTTCCAAATAAACATTTTTTTTTAACTATAGGTAGGTTATAGATGAGCAGGAAAAGAACATATACAGTCACACAGATGTTCTCACTGCTTCCTGATTTATTTAGCCAAGGAAACAACGTTTCACGAAGCCAGGTGGCTACACAAAGCAGGAGCAGATGCAGCACGTCTTTGCTGGCTCGCTGTCTGTCTCTTGGAGCAACTACTGCTGACACTTCACTCAGCCAGTGAGTGTTCCAGAGCAGATAACATAGCCAGGCTCTCACACTAATACCTTTTTATATTTTGACTGACTTCATCAACATCTT